AGGCCGCCGGGACACACGGGAAGAAACTGCCCGACGGCTAAGCGGGGGTCGAGAAACGGCGTGAAGGGCAGGTTAAAAGCCGGTGTGAACGGCCTGTGACCTTCCGTCGCCCGAACCTCACCATCCCCACCAAGTCGTAGTTCTGACTCATGCAGTCAACTTACTTGGCCGAATAACGGGGGTGAACACGTGGCCTACCCTGCGCTGGTTAAAAGCACCTGGTTTGGTGCCCGTTCGACAGCTGTACAGAAAATATATATATATATATATAAAAAGGGGGGAGTTGCGGCACTGTTCTACTCCGGCAAAAACGGGCTGGGTGAAACAGCACGCGAAAAAATCGGGGCGCCGCAGGACAACACTGGTAGAACTAGAGAGGAAAGTATGTCGATTAGGTTAGGGGAGGGGGTACAAGAGTATCGAGAGAATTGATGTACCCTCTAAGAATCACCCCTACACAACCTAGAACTAAATAATATGAAACATATAATTTGACACACCCCCATAGGTGAAGTAGGGGGGATAGCCAAACCTAACAGTGGTCACAAGACCAGTCAAGCAGAAAAGCAAGCAAGACAAAGCTCAGGGTGGATCTCAAGGACACCACACAGTCTGAGCACAAGCAGGTGGCCACAAGGCCAGTTCACATGCAGGTTTATAACAAAGCAAGAGATACAGTGATCACAACCTAGCAAGAGTAAACATGCAGGTATATATATATATATAGTGATCACAGTACAAGCAGGGTCAAGAAGTAAGCAAGTGAGGTCCAGTAGGCACAAGGCCTAGCAGAGTGCAGAAGCGCTGATGGTCACAAGGCTGAAGCGCCTTGGTGAACACATCAGCAGTGTTGGCCTCAGTGGCCACGTAACGCAGACAAAGCTGACCGCGCTGCTGCAGCTCTCGAGCAAGGAAGTACCGCAGGGCGATGTGCTTCGTTCTGTGCTCCAGTCTGTGCTCCTCACACAAGGCAATGGCAGCCTCGTTGTCGACGTACAGCACTGGAGGAGAACGAGGCCGCTCTCCCAGGTCGGTCAGCAGGTAGGTCAGCCAGCGTAGCTCCTGGGCAGCCATGGCTGTGGCGTAGATCTCAGCCTCACAACTGGAGCTGAGAACAGAAGAAGAGCGTGTGGAACGCCAAGAAACTGAGCCAGAGCCGAGGCTGAAGGTGTAACCCTGAGACGACTGCTGAGTAGCCTGATCGTCCGCCCAAGAAGCATCTGAGTGTCCTGTGAGTACAACTCGGTCCCGCCCTCCAAGCACTAGCCCCATGCCCGACGTACTGCACAAGTAGCGCAACACCCTCTTAGCGGCATCCATGTGCTCCTTCCTGTGACGGCCAGGAGCGACATAGCGTGCAAGGATGCTAAGAGGGTATGCAAGGTCAGGTCGAGTGCAGGTCATCAGGTACATGAGGTAGCCCACAAGCTCTGGATACGGGCCACTCGGCTCTACGGACTCATCCAAAGGCAGAGCTGAGAGCGAGTGACCGGTAGGCAGAGGAGTGGACTGAGGCGAGGAGTACGTGAAGCGGAAGCGCTGGAGGATCTGCTGCACCATGTGTGACTGAGTCAAGGTGATGGTGCGCCATGCTCTGTCCCGGGTGATCCGCAAGCCAAGATAGCTCGTCAGTTCACCCAGGTCTGTGCACGTGTGTCTCCTCTGCAGCTCCGACTTCACGTGGGCGAGTGCCGCGGTGTCAACAGTGGCAAAGACCAAGTCGTCGACATACACGAGGATGTAGAACGGCGGCAGCGAGGTGTCAGTGCGTAGAAACAGTGACGGGTCAGCAGTAGAGGGAGCGAACCCAAGAGCCGCAAGTGTCGTCCTCAGTGTGTCGTGCCACTCACGTGGTGCCTGGCGGAGACCGTAGACCGGCCGCTGGAGCCTCCACTGGGTACCAGGAGGAACCAACCCAGTGAAGCCAGGTGGGCGACGTAGCCAGATCTCCTCGTGCAGGCTGCCCTGTAAGAAAGCAGTGCTGAAGTCAAGTGAGTGAAGCTCGTAGTCGCGCTGAGTGGCTATGTGCAGCAGCACCCGAAGAGTGGTCATCTTCGGGGTGGGGGAGAAGGTCTGGAAGAAGTCTACTCCCTCTCGCTGACTGAAGCCTCGAGCAACGTAGCGCGCCTTGAAGACAGGAGGAGAACCCGGCGGCCGCTTCACCCTGAAAATCCACATGCCACTGACGATGTTCGCCCCAGGTGGGGGAACCTCGTCGACGTAGGTGCCTGTGGACTTCCAGGAAGCCATCTCTGCGTCCATGGCTGTCTGCCACTGAGAGGAGTAGGGACCCGCCATCGCCTCAGCGTAAGAGCGCGGGGTCGGGATGTCTGGTGCATCCGGGTCTCCCTCAGGGGCAACTAGCATGGACACGAGACGGGGCAAAGCAGCAGCAAAGCACTGGAACTCCTCCTGTCTGTCCTCAAGGACGTCCGTGCCAAGAGCACACTCACCCCCGACGGACGGAGGACAGACAGACTCAGACTCAGCAACAAGGCTAGCGGCGTAGTCTAGACGACAGCGGGCAGCAAAGTCAACCAACTCAGCGACCAGAGCAGACGCAGCAGAGGACTCAAAGGAAGGGTCAGTGACAACAGTGGCGAGGAGACGCGTGACAGTGGGACTGGCAGCACGACGGTAGTCAGACTCCGGGTCAGGAAGAGTAGGTAGAGAGGACGCAGGAGGAGACGGCAGAGGGACACGCTGAGGAGCAGTAGAGGGACGCAGAGTCATGTAGTGAGTGCCAGGGACAGGAGGAGGACGCTCACGTGGGACACGACGACCAGTGCGAGCAGTACGGACAGGCGACGCAGGACGAGACTCAGGCTCACGACGCTCTGTAAGACCTCCTGTGGGACCAGTGTAAGGAGAGGGAGCAGGGAGAGGCGAGGTAGGCGGTAACTGTGACTGCGGCTGGACAGGCGGAGGACACTCTACGGAGGGAGGAGGACAAGGAGGAGGAGCCTGACCAAGAACCTGCTGAAGAAGTGGTACGAAGTACGGTCGCGGCCGCGCAGCGTCTCCAGAACTAGCAGAGACACCAGTGGCGAGGTCCTCAGCACCAGCAGCAGCTCCACCGTCCGGGTCCTCAGCACCAGCAGCAGCTCCACCGCTCGGGTCCTCAGCACCAGCAGCAGCTCCACCGCCCGGGTCCTCAGCTCCAGCAGCAGCTCCAACGCCCGGGTCCTCAGCACCAGTAGCAGCTCCACCGTCCGGGTCCTCAGCACCAGCAGCAGCGCCACCGCTCGGGTCCGCAGCACCAGCAGCAGCTCCAACGCCCGGGTCCTCAGCACCAGCAGCAGCTCCACCGCTCGGGTCCGCAGTACCAGCAGCAGCTCCAACGCCCGGGTCCACAGCACCAGTAGCAGCGCCAACCCCAGGGTCCGCAGCACCAGGAGCACCACTCCGAAGACTGCAGCGCCGCGTGTACCACTCTCGGATCCGCTGAATGGGGGGGAGCTCCTGGGCAGGAGGGGAAGTACTGGTACGAGCTCCAGTAGTACCTCTCCGGAGGCGGCAGTACTGTAGGTACCTCTCCTGCAGCTGCCGGGAGGAGAGGGCTCCTCCAGGTGTAGTACGCTCAGGCTCAGCACCCCCAGACTCAGCACCCCCAGACTCAGCACCTCCAGGCTCCGCACCTCCAGGCTCCGCACCTCCAGGCTCAGCACCCCCAGGCTCCGCACCTCCAGACTCAGTACTCCCAGGCTCAGCACCCCCAGACGCAGCACCCCCAGGCTCAGCACCCCCAGGCTCAGCACCCCTAGCAGGACGAGAGTCGACAGCTACCTCGACAGGCTCACCCGGGTCTACCTGGGACACACCTGAGGGAGCGGCACCCTGAGGGGGGAGGGGGTCTGGTACCTCAGCACCTGGAGCGAGGAAGAGAGGCGGGGGGGGGGAGCGGGGCAGTGCGGTAGGGGAAGAGGCGGTAGTAGGGGACGGACTCGTCAAAAGTGACGTCCTGAGAGGCCAGGACACGACGCGAGGTGGCGTGGTAGAACTGCCAACCAGGGGCGTCCGGGACAAAGCCAAGGAAGACACAGGGGACAGCGCGACGGGAGAGCTTGTCCGCGGACGTGTCGCGAACAAAAGCTCGGGATCCCCAGACCCGAAAACGCGATGCATCGCCAGCCTCTCCCGTCCAACGCAGGGTCGGAGAAGTCTCCGGGAGGGAGACTCGGGGCCAGAGGTTGAGCTGATGCGCAGCGTATCGGACTGCAAACGGCCACAGAAAATGGGGGCAGCCGCATGAACCAAGGAGGTACGAGCGACCTCCATGACCAAGCCAATGCGGCGCTCAGCAACCCCATTCTGCTGTGGAGAGGCCGGAAGCGTGAACGACTGCTCAATGCCCTCCTGCTGACAGAAGGCCTCCAAGAGGCCGGAGGAAAACTCCCCACCTCTGTCAGAGTGCAGACGCAGGACAGGAAAGTCGGAGTGGAAACGCTTGCTGAGCTGGAGATGAGATCTGCGGATCCAAGGGATCAAGACATCAGGGACGTCACCCTTGGCGCGCAAGGGGAAGACCGTGGTGTAGCGCGAGAAGTCGTCAACAACAATCAGGAAGTACCTCTCCTGACCCTGTCCACGGACGCGGGCTGGGCCCCACACGTCCAAGTGGAGCGTCTGCAAAGGAGCAGTCGTCGGGGGAAAGGAGGAGGAGTGAGGAGCGGCGCGCTGCCGCCCCTCGACACAGGGAAGACAGGGAGGAGCAGGCGAGGGTGGGAGGGGAGGGAGAACCCTGGGAAGACCAGCAACAAGGTCCCGTTTGTGCATGGCCCGAAGGCGCTGCACAGACGGGTGACCAAGGCGGTGGTGCCAGAGGACAGTCTCATGCCCCAGAGAGCGACACGAGCAGGGGGCGGACAGCTGACCTGACGCAGACGCAGACGCAGACGCAGCTACCTGAGGGGACTCAGTGGTCAGTGTGTACAGGTCCGACCCCGGCTCCCGAGTGAAGGTAGCCAGGTGACGGCTCGTCCGAGCACACGTGCAGAGTGTCACGCGCTCGTAGGCAGGGGTGAACTGGTGAACACCCCCGTCCTGGAGCGCACTACCCGCCACCAAGTTCGTAGAGAACGAGGGGAGGTAGAGACCAGACAGTGTGCCAGACGGGACCGCAGGACAGGGAAGAACAGTGGAGGAGGTCGCAATGACCGGACCCCCAGAGGGGTCAGCGAGGGAGACAGCAACTGGCCGAGCGAGTGGCTCAAGGGCAGTGCGATCTCGAAAGAAACAGCGAGAAGCACCTGAGTCCAGTGTGAAGGTGTGCAGTGCCGCAGTCGACTCAGTACCAGGGGAGACAGACTCACCAGCACCTAGAGTGGCAGCCTCACCATCACCAGGGGTAGCAGACACGCGAGCACCTGGAGCTGCAGACGCACTAGCACCTAGAGCAGCAGCCTCACTGGTCAGAATGCCCGGGTCGGGCGGAACACGCAAGTACTGAGCACCCTCTCCACTAGTAAACATAGCATACATGGCAGTGAGAATAGCATCAAAGTCTAAAGCCCAGATATCAATTCCCTTCTTCTCCAGATCAAACCAGCGGGGCAGCTCATTGCCGTCAGGGAACTGAGTGCGCCAAGCGTCGTCAAGGCGCGCGAAACAGCGCGGCGTGGGGTGCGGCTTCCCACACGTCTGACCAGTGCGGTCACCAGTGCGGATGACGTACGTGCAGCTAAGGCCACCCGCCCCCCCACGCTGCGCATACCACTCACGGGCCTCCTGGAGCGACGGAGTGTGCTGCTGGCTCGGACCACCGCCAGCGCCTCCACGACCACCACCGCCGCTGCCACCTCCTCGACCACCCCCTCCCCTGCCGCTGCCACGACCACCGCCGCCCCCACTGCCGTCCCCGCCCCTGCCACCGCCTCCGCCGCTGCCGTCACCACCCCCACTGCCGCCACTAGTCTCTCCAGCCCCTCCTCCACTCCCACCGCCTCCACCCCCGCCTCCCCCGCCTCCACCCTTGCTTCCTTTGGTCCTGCGGCGCCCGCTCGAAGCAGACGCGGTCCCGACCTTCTCAGCACCAAGGAGGTCGACAGCAGAAGCAGAGGCGACAGAGGGGAGAAGGGGGGAAGGGGAACACCCCTCAAAGAAGGGGGTGCGGGGCTCGCCACGAGAGGCACCTACGGCGACGATGCTCGCCTCAGCTGCAAGTAGGTCCTTCTCGAGGAGGGCAATGGTGAGCTCAGTAGGGGAGCGAGCTAGAAAGGAATCCCTGACTGTGCGCAGAGAGTCAGGGAGGCGGGTGACAATGTGGTAGAGAGTGAGCCAGAGCGGGGGGGGGTTGCTAGCAAGGAACTCGGCAGGCATAGCAGCGCGAAAGCGGGCCTCACTAGTCTTGAGGTGGGTGATGAGGTCAGCAACAGTGTGAAAGGAGGCCAGGTCGGGGAACAGGTAGGGCAGTGAGAGGCGGCCTAGTGCGGCAGACGCAGGTGAGGAGTAACGAGCAACTACGGCTGTGTACAGTTCCTTAGCAGTCTTGCACTGGCCGAAGTGCTCGCGCTCATCTAGCGGTAGGGAGTTGCGAATAGCGAAGCGAGCGTGCGCGTCACGGGTCTGCCACTGGGAGCGCAGAGTGCTGTCAGCAGTAGTGTCAGGGGCAGTAGCATGGCCTAGGGCGTGATCGTACAGTGAAATGTCCTCCTTGGCAGTGAGCTGTAGGAAGAGGTGCAGGTCATCTAGCCAGGTGTCAAACTTCACTGGGCGGCCCTCAGCATCGAAGGCTAGCACAGGAGGGCTAGCCATAGTAGCAGTAGGAGGAACAGTAGTAGCGTCAGTAGCAGTGACAGCAGCAGCAGTAGCGCGGTAGGGCAGGGCAGTGCGGCTCTAGCAGGGCAGGGCCGGGGCAGTGACGGCGGCGGCGGCGGCAGCTGCTGAAGGCTCGGGAACGGCCGCTGCTGCAGGGACGGCGGCGGCTGCTGTGGTATTCTCGAACGGCGGCTGCTGCTGCAGGCTCGGCGGCGGCAGCTGCTGCAGGTCTGGCGGCGGCTGCTGCTGCTGGCTCGGCGACGGCAGCTGCTGCAGGGTCGGCGGCGGCCGCTGCTGTAGGTCCGGCGGCGGCTGCTGCTGCAGGGTCGGCGGCGGCCGCTGCTGTAGGTCTGGCGGCGGCTGCGACTGCAGGCTCTGCCGCGGCTGTTGCTGCAGGCTCGGCGGCGGCAGCTGCTGCAGGTCCGGCGGCGGCTGCTGCTGCAGGCTGGGCCGCGGCAGCTGCTGCAGGTCTGGCGGCGGCTGCTACTGCAGGTCAGACCGCGGCTGCTGCTGCTGGCTCGGCGGCGGCTGCTAGTGCAGGTCCGGCCGCGGCTGCTGTTGTAGGCTCTGCGGCGGCAGCTGTTGAAGGTCAACGGCGGTAGCTGCTGCAGGCTCAGCGGCGACAGCTGCTGCAGACGAGAGGGAAGGGGACCGCGACGGGTCCTGGAGGGGCCGCGAAGGGCGGCGAGGGGCGGCGACGAAGCCGCGAAGAGGCGGCAACAGAGCCGCGAAGGGGAGGGCGGCGACGGAGTCGCGTATGGGCGGCGACGAGGCCGCGTAGGGGCGACGACGAAGCCGCGTAGGGGCGGCGACGAGGTCGCGAAAGGGCGGCAACAAAGCCGCGCGGGGGGGGGGGCGATGAGGCCGCGAAAAGGGGGGCCGCTAAGGGGCCGTAAGCGGGGGTCGCGAGGGGCCAACGAGGGGCCGCGAGAGGACGTGAAAAAAAGGGGCCGCGACGGGCCGTTAGGGACAGGCGCACGGGGCGCGACTAGGGTAGGCGCGAAGCGCGCTCCGGGCAGGAAAAAAAAAATTTCGTTTTCCGAGGTGGGCCCTAGGAAACTTCCTGCTCTATACCATGTCTAGAGAGGAAAGTATGTCGATTAGGTTAGGGGAGGGGGTACAAGAGTATCGAGAGAATTGATGTACCCTCTAAGAATCACCCCTACACAACCTAGAACTAAATAATATGAAACATATAATTTGACAAACACTGGTGCAGTTTACAGGTTTCCTCTGACCCGGGCGTCTACACGAGGTGACGGCGCAGCGGCGAAGCAGGGACCGGGAGCTGTGGAGTTTTAGTGGCGCGATGGGCACGGTGGGTTGCAAAGCGGTTGGGAATGATCTCCTTTTAACTAAGGCACCCCGACTCCGATAGTCTTTTCTTCTCCACCGTGGCCGGGTTTCGCGCGGGCAACAACGATTATACCTCATCCGACAAAAACGGACGCTGGGTGAACGGCGGGAAGCGAAATTGTCGGGGGGTGAAACGACCAAAAAAATATGAAGCTGCGGGTATTTCTTCGCTTCTTGGAGTGCGGTTGAGTCGTTGGGGGACTTCGCCTGAAGGGCACTTTTCGTAGTAGCCTGGCAAGAAAAACAGCGGCAAGGATTCCTAGGACCCTTGGTGTTTAAACGCACACCTCGGGAAATTCTTCAAAAAAGGGAAGCGTGGGAGCAGTCGTAGCTTCGGGAACTTATCGGCCGGCGACGAGCGATGGGTGAAACATCTGCAAAGCGCTGGTGGGAGAAACAGGTTGTTTTGTTAAGCGACATCGGCGGGAGCTGTTTCGACTACGGAGGTCAACGGCGTTGATGCCTCTAGGTTCCGTGAAATTCGGTCTCGGAAGACCCAGGGCAGTCCCCGGTTCTCGATTGAACCCACATGCTGGGGTCGGGTAAACCGACGGAAACTGCTGGTGACCGAATGGGCGGCTATAGTACGTCCGAGATTTTCGGAGGCGAACTGCACCTGCAACTGCGGATTTTTAGGGCTGGTTTCGAACGACATTTTCGGAGTTTTACGTGGGGACTTATCGGTTTACGGCGGGAAGCGCCGACAATTTCGGAGGATTTCATCGGCGTCTGATTAAACGCGCGCGACATTTACGTGGGGCAACAACGCGGGAACTACCCGGAGTTTTCAAGGGGTACGAAGGACTTACGACGAACTGAAGAAGGCGGCAGCAACAGTGGAGAGGGTGGAGAGACAGCTGTAATTTTTACATCTCTGCCCGGGAGTCATCGGCGGATTGCGACAAAATGCTCGGCCAGTATGGACAAACCCGCCGGAGTTGCTGACATCATCTGACACGGATTCGTGTTCGACAATATTTTTCGGAGTGACATTCGCTACGGTTACTGCTTCGACGACCATCGCCGAAGAAATCTCGTCTTTAACTTCGCGACCAATCGCCTTAACGATCGAAATTTCTCAACACTCCCGATTTTACGGCCAGAGAATTTCGGGATACAGTCGCTCCAACTCTGCTAACGACACTTCGCCCAACTCGACCCGCCCACGACAAACGATTTAATTTCAGCCACGTCAGGTGCTGCCAGCTGCAACTGCCGAAGATACTGCAGGATTCTGGCACATGACGACAGCACAGGTTCAGTTTGAGCAACGACGAATTTTCAACTGAGTTTCTGGTCTACTTTCGCTGGTTCGCCCTTGAAATTTTTGGGCATTTAACACCTGGTTTTCTCATCGAGTTTCCACACCGACGCAGTTTCCACCTGGACTTAGCACCGCTTTTCTCAGTGGGATTTAACACCTGGTTCTTGTTGTTTTCATCTCGGCGCAGCTGCGAAACTTTTTCAGTGGTACATTTCTTGAAGGGGGGGAGAAAGTGCGCTGCACTGTTCTTTCCTTGGCGTTTTCTCGGCTTTCTTCTTGACCTTTGTCAGGTCGCGTCAGCACGACGGACGATCGCGATTACACCGACACGATCGACGGCTCCAGATTGATTGCGCTTGAATTCCGCGTCAGTCTGTTCCCTCCAAAATCGCATCTGCTTCGACCGTCGGATCTACAGCATATGCATCTACGGCTCACAATCCAACTTTCATTACATTTGGGCCACTTCATCTTCGACCGTCAGATCGAAATCTGACAACATCAACGGCCGACATTCCAACCTTTTCAACAATATTGTCTGGGGCATTTCAGCCGTCGGATTCAGCTGAAGTGAAGATCAACGGCATCCTCGCTACTGGGTGACCCTTTTCAGTACAGGGCTGCCTTATTTAGGAGGTGGGAGAGTGTAAGGATTTACAAATCCTTACTGAGGCGCTCGATAGCGAGGCCATCCCGAGGGCCACGCGACCAACTGGTTCGGCCTACAATTTCGCATCCCAACCTCACCGAGCCGCCTCCGCACCAATCGCGACACTTCGCGAGCCAACCCTACCACACCATCCCCGCCTAGCTAGGTTTTCCCCTATTTAGGCCTCGCTACTTCATTGTTCAGGCATTCTGTAATTCTTCATTCTCGTTATTCGATATCTGCGCACTCTGACAAGTTCATTCATAACATCAATTGCCGTGGCAAATACATAGTTAGTCACTTATCGTAGCTTCCGTTTACTATTTTTTTTCATCTTTGATGAAAAAAAAATGTACATAACGATTGTAATAGGTTGCTTCGCAACCCAAAAATAAAAAACGGACCTACTGCTCTGAAACCATGTCAGAAACTAGAGACAGGAATGAATGAACTAGATGAAAGTTGGGTACAAGTATGAAACCCTAAAGGGGCTATACCCCATATCAGCTACCCCACTACAGCCTACACATATATAATACATATATCATTTGACATACTCGGGCATGTGATGTGCACGAGGTCTCCTGTGCTCAAATCCCTGAATAAGCTTGACAACCAAGCACTGGCAGATAATTCAGTAGGCTACTTGACTCTTCACCTGCAACGCCAAACTGCCACGGAAAGCAGCTGCAATGCTGGACTGGCAAGGAAAGCAGTAAACCCAGCAATTATAAACGCACAGATCGTGCAATGCCAGGCCAACACTCACCACCTCCGCATTTCCCCAAGCACACCTGAACCTAACCAACCGTCCAAACCCCGTAACCCGCTCAGAAATAGCTGGACTGTTGGTGCAGCAGCTCGAGATGACTCAAGATCTTAGCAGCGACGGGCTTGGTCTCGTTGGAGCCGTGTTGGGTGATCTCAATGAGCGCGCCCTGGGCCTTGGTGGCGTACTCAAACTTGTACTCCTCGAGCCGAAACAGCTTCTCCAGCATCCACACGCCCTTCTCCTTGGCCCTCTCCGTGCCCTCGCTCAGCTGCTGCACCACCCGCCCAAACCCGCCTGGTGGACGCAAGAGAGACACGCAGACACAGGCAGATGGAGAGGGGAGGCCGCCAGGCAGGGCAGAGAGGGAGGGAGGGACCGCAGAGGAGAAGAGGGAGGGAGGCAGAGAGAAGGGAGTCCTCAGGCAGGACAGGTGGGGAAGGGAACGGGGATGGAGACAGGGGATGGGGGCAGCATGGGGATGTGGATAGGAGACAAGAGCTTGAATGGCTGGCAGGGTGTGATCCGGTAACACCAATGCTGGCAGATGATCCATCCCCCATTCCATCCAATCCCATCGCACCACTCTCGAGCAAGCAAGGCTGACCGGACTCATGGATGATCTTGACGCTGGCCTCCCACCGGCACGAGTCCGCCATCAGCGTCGACAGTGCCGTGAGTGCCGCCTCGGCCGTGAGGGGCTCCTTCTCGGCCATGGCGGCCACGAGGGGGTCGATGGCCTCGGCCTCGAGCAGGCAGAAGGAGGAGCGCACGGAGCACGTGCCCCCGTGCACCACACACTTGGGCTCCTCGGGCGCCTTGAAGCAGCACCCGCCCGACTTGGCCTTGACGGCCACGGAGAGCGTGGGGCTGGAGTCGGAGAAGTTGCCGAGGCACAGCGCTGCCCCCCGCTTGGCCCCCGCGTTGCCCGTCACCAGCAGCGTCACCAGCTGCGGGATGGCTCCCAGCTCCGCCAACTGCTGCTGCTGCTTCATGCTGCGCCATGGGGGGAGGACAAGGGAAGGGGGGACGGGAGAAGGGGAGACAGGGAAGGGGAAAAGGGCTTCAGCAAAGCTAGGAGCTCCCGCAGCTCGTAACCCTGCTGGTAACCGGCAACGCAGGGGCGGAATGAGGAGACTGGTGGGCTTAACCACGAGGGCAGTATAATGAGTGGAGCTGAGAGGACAAAGGGGGAGTGTGAGATTGGACAGAACGTCTAATGGGGGGAAAGCAGTCTGTTTGGGATGGTGGTGACAAGCGGCAGAAGATGACGTAGTGTGGATGGACGGTGGATGAAGGGTGTATGGATGATGGATGGAGGGTGGAGGGTGGATGGATGATGCATGGAGGGTGGACGGAGGGTAGACGGAGGTTAAATGGAGGGCAAATGGAGGGCAAATGGAGGGTAAATGGAGGGTGGACGGAGCGTGGACGGAGGGAAAAATGGAGGGTAAATGGAGGGTAAATGGAGGGTAAATGGAGGGTAAATGGAGGGTAAGTGGAGGGTAAATGGAGGGTAAATGGAGGGAGGCATACTTGGAGGGGAGAGTGAAGCGCACGAGGGCGTTAGCAGCGCCCTCCAGAGCCGCGTCCTTGAGCTGTGCGTTGCTGCCCACACCGCCCCCCTTCATGCCCAGCATCGTAACCAGCGTCTGCACCACATCCGCCTGCCGGGGAGAGCGCACGAGGGGAAACAGAGGAAAGGGGAAGAGAATTCTCTTAGGTGCCTTGAGAAAGCAAACTCTCTACCACATGGATGCACAAATGCACCTCAACCCACCCGCCCAGCCCACCCTCCCACCCACCCACGTGGACATCGTCAGCTTGGCGTCACAGTCAGTTTAGGCGGCAACGCAACGATAAGCGCAGCAGCAGCAGTGCGGTTTTCAAGTGCCATTGTTTCAGTGGGCTCAAAGACAGCCCTCCCGCTGCCCACCCGGCCAGGCACCTGCACGAGAGCGTGGTTGAGCTTGGCGTCAACCCACCTGCACGAGAGCGTGGTTGAGCTTGGCGTCAACCCACCTGCACGAGAGCGTGGTTGAGCTTGGCGTGAGTGGCAGGCAGCGCAGCGATGAGCCCGGCAGCAGCGGCGCGGTTGTCAAATGAGTCCTTGTCGTGCAGCATGGCGATGATGGCCCTCAGCGCCGCGCCCTGCCCGTCCATGAGGCTGTCCGCCACACTCTTGCCCGCCTCCGCCTCCCGACACAGCTCCCTTAACACCCGCGCTGCCAACGGCCTCGTCGCTGGCCCCTGGTGGGTGCGGGGAAGGGGGGTGGGGCCATGGTGCGCGCACCATAAGGGACAGGATGAGAGGAGTGACGAGTGAGGAGTGGGGGGAGAGACGGGGGAAGAGAGGGGGGAGAGGCGGAGGAAGAGAGGGGGGAGAGACGGGGGAAGAGAGAGGGGGGAGAGGCGGAGGAAGAGAGGGGGGAGAGACGGGGGAAGAGAGTGGGGAGAGGCGGAGGAAGAGAGGGGGGAGAGACGGGGGAAGAGAGGGGGGAGAGACGGGGGAAGAGAGGGGGGAGAGGCGGAGGAGGAGTGAGAACGAAGGAGTGGGGGAGGGGACGGGGAGGCGAGGGAGGGGGCCGAGGGGGCTGGTAGGGGCAGGGGTGGCAGGCAGGTGAGGTGAGATGGGAGGGAGAGGTGAAGGGGGAGAGGGAGATGGGATGAGTGGCGGCATTTGTGGCTGGAGCGGCAGCCAGAGCCGTCAGCCAGAGCCGTCAGCCAGAGCCGTCAGCTATGCACGCTATTCTACGAAACAGCGAGTGGAATGCAACAGTGAGCAGCCAACCCCAGAAGCAGCGGGGGCGGGGAGCATGTGGTGGCACGGACCCCTTCAGAGCCGTCAATGAAGGGGATGAGCACGTCCACTGCTCCCCCCACCATCATGCGCTTGCGCCCTTCCACGGCCTGCCGTACCGACGCCATGCCCAGCAACGCCTTGAGTAGATTCACCTGCACGCATGCGCACATGCACACGCACGCACGCACGCACGCACGTACCCCCCCCCCACCAACCCCCCCCCCCCCCAAACACACACACACACACGTGCACATGCACATGCACACGCACACCGTCAGATGCCATGGTGTATAAGGAGATGGGTGAGCGACAGGGCATTCATCAGAGATACAAGGATACGCCCTGGTTATCCATGCCCCAGCCTGCTGCACCATATGAAGGCCCTGTGTGGTGTGTGTGTGGTGTGTGTGTGGAGCTAACATAAAAGCAAAGTAACAGGTGTGGAGGTCAAGCGACCCCACCCCAGCGCAGCGCACCTGGATGTTGGGGCCAGCGAGGTTCACCTGGATGTTGGGGCCAGCGAGGTTCACCTGGATGTTGGGGCCAGCGAGGTTCACCTGGATGTTGGGGCCAGCGAGGTTCACCTGGATGTTGGGGCCAGCGAGGTTCACCTGGATGTTGGGGCCAGCGAGGTTCACCTGGATGTTGGGGCCAGCGAGGTTCACCTGGATGTTGGGGCCAGCGAGGTTCATGAGCGAGAGCAGCTGGAAGATGGTTTCCTCCGACTCCAGCATCGCCCCGCTGCCGTCCATCCTCGTGTCCGCCTGCGCGGCGGCCGCCAGGGAGATGTTGGCGAGGATGGCGGCGGCGCCCTCCTTGAGGCTCATGACGACGGACGTGACGGAGAAGAGCAGCGTGAGCAGCGGCGGCACCACGCCCGCGCGGATGAGCTCGTTGCGGTTGGCGGCGAGCGACGAGAGGTTCTGCAGCGCGCCCAGCGCCGCCGCCTTGGCCTCCAGCTTGCCCGCCGCCATCATGGTGACCAGCGGCGGGATGGCGCCCTGCTGCACCAGCACCGCCTTGCTCTGGTCCGTCAACGACATGCGCGACAGCGCACTCGCCATCACTATCCGCGTCATGTCCGAACCTGGCGGGCGGGGAGTAGGGTGGGGCAGGGACGTGATGGTTGGGAGTGAATAGCAAGTACGATGTGACAGGGCGTAAGGGAGTGTGCAGTCGCCCTCACGATCCTTGTCATGTCGAGCCTGGCAGGAGGGAGGACGGGGGAGGGACGGGGACGAGGGTGGACGTGGGGAGGTCGGAAGGGGAAGGGAGGGGGCAAAGGTGGAAGGGAGGGGGGCGAAGGTGGAAGGGAGGGGGGCGAAGGTGGAAGGGAGGGGGCGAAGGTGGAAGGGAGGGGGGCGAAGGTGGAAGGGAGGGGGGCGAAGGTGGAAGGGAGGGGGGCGAAGGTGGAAGGGGAAAGAGAAAGAGACGTGTGGATGGTGGGGAGTGATCTCTGCTGCACCGGCACCACCTTGCCCTGGGCGTGGCACCGTCTTGCCTAGTCCGTAAGGGGGACTCTCTCTGAAACTTCTCAAGAGCAATTTCAAGCTAGAGGGCCTGTCCTAGTAGAGGGGGAGGGAGAGGGCAGGGAGAGGGGAGGGGGTGGCAAGCAGGTGAGAGGTGGAAGGAGGGAGAGGAGAGAGAGGCGGGAATGGAATTGAGAGGGGGGAGGGGCGGGGAAGAGAGAGGGGAGGTTGGGAAGGAGAAGGGAGGAGGGGAGGAGACGAGAGAGACAGATGGGTTGGTGGGAGATGAGGTCAACAATATTCGAGGCGAGGTGCAATCACAGGGACAAAGGGCATGACTCAGCGTTCGGACTGGACTTAAACGCGAGTCACCGCGCAAAAGAGCAAGATCAATCCTGTAACAGCACACTTGCAACAACCTTCCACCAACACCCCAGCAGCAGCAGCAGCAGCAGCAGCAAGGCAGGCGAGGCGACCTGTGGTGAGGCGGTCGGCGAGTGGTTTGAAGTGGTTGGCTTCGGCCATCTGCACCACGTTCTGGTCGTTGCTGGCCAGCTGCTGCAGCACGGCCGCCGCGTCCTTGGCGGCGTTGGCGTTCTCGTTGTTGAGCATGGTCACGAGCAGCAGGATGGAGCCCTGCGCGCGCCCGATCTCCTCGCACACCTTGGGGCTCTTGCTCAGCTCCAGCAGCAGCGCCACGGCCTGCCGGCTCTCGCCCACGTCCCGTGACAGCGACCGCACCGCCAGCTGAATGGCGCCCGCCTCCACCACCAGCTCCTGCGCACCGCTCGCGTGGGGGGAGTCGTGGGGACGGAGTGAGACGGATACGTTGGGGGGAGTGGTGGGGAGGTGGGAGGGGAAGGGGGGAAATGGGGGGAGGGAATTGGAGTGGGTGGCGAGTGGCAAGGTCGTGCGGGGGATGTGGGAAGGGAATGGTTTTGCGTGCGAGGAGCCTCTCAGAGTTAATGGCACTAGAAGCTGAATGCACTAGAAGCTGAATGCACTAGAAGCTGAATGCACTAGAAGCTGAATGGCGCCTGACTGAGCGTGCTACGACGTCCGGCGGAGGCGGTACAGGGAAGAGGCTGTGGCGGGCATGGATTGGCGGAAGCCCGGCTCCCCACGTCCTCCTCTCTGCCCCCCTCTCCACCAGATACACACGTCCACCAGAAGTCCCGCACCTTGTTCTCGTCATTCCCGTTGGCGAGGTTGGCGAGTGTGGCGAGTGTTTTGCGGCGGAGGTTGCGGCTGGTGGACTTGAGCAGGTTGACGACGACGGGAATGAGCCCCTCCGCCGCCACCCAGTAGCGGTTGCTGGCGCGCTCCTCGCACAGCTGGAACACCTCCAGCAGCCCGCCCTCCACCTCCTCCTCCTTGCCCGACTGCAGCTTCGGCCGCGCCGCCTGGATGCGCATCACCGTGTTGCGCGCGCGCCACTCCTCGATGGCCCGCGCCATATCCTCGTTGCGCGTCACCTCCAGGTTCTCCAGCGGCTCCTGCGTTACTGGGCAGTGCTTGTTGCCCTCTGCGCGCAACGCGCGGAAGAGGGGTGGAGAGGGGAAGCGAGGGATGGAGAGGGGTGGAACGCGGTGGGAGAGAGAGGTGGGGCAGCAAGAGGCAGTCCTAGAATGCTGTAAGTAGCGGTGTGGCCGGTATGGTCGTGGCCGTTATGGTGGCCACACAGGAGCCCCAGGCGTGCACGGCAATGCGGCGTGTAGCAGGCCTCGTCACCTCCTACAACCACCTCCCTGCTTCTCCAAGCCCTTCTCCCTCCCCCGCATTTCCACTCATACTTTCGTAACAGCCACCTAACCCTCCCGAGAACCGTCCTCGACTCCAGGATGAGCCTCGCGTTCTGGCGCGGCGCGTACCGTGGAAGAACTGTTGGATGGACTTGAGGTCGAAGGTGTGGCCCGACGCGATGGTGACGGGCTCTTCCATGACGTCGCCGGAGATGGGGCACAGGTACTCATCCATGGGCGGCACCTCCATCACCTGCCCCGTCGAACTCTGCTTTCGCCGCTGCTTCTCCCGCGCTGCTTCATCCGCCTCCATCTCCGCTCTCGCCTCCGCATTCGCTGGATGCGGCGCCTCTCCCCCTAAATGGTTCGCTCCCGCGACTAATGCGGGGTGCCCTGACGCTTCCCTACCGTCCGCTTGCTCCAGCTCTTGTGGCGTCTCCAACCCCATCTATATACCACGAAAAACAACCCCTATGCGAAGGTGCGCGTTGTTAAAACACTAGTCTATCCGAGTCTGGGATGCTGAAATACTAGCCTTATTATCGTGGGAAAGATGGACCAGGTCGGATCGCAGATGTTACGAGCTGCCAAACCAAACTAGGAGCTACGCGGAAAACAAATGGTATACGTTAGTGGCTAACCTAGCTTGGCGGTGCGGGAACCTTGAGAACGCGAAGTTGGGTGCAGGTTGGGCAAAGGAACACACCGAGGGCGAAGCGAAACAGCCTCGGTATTGCTGATGTTGGCGGGACGTGCATACCGAAATTTGGGTTTGTACGCGAAGCCGTAAACCCCGATTATAAAAACGATTATACTTACACTAACCACACCTTTAGGAAAGGTGGCCTAAATTTGCTGCGTGCTTCCGAGCAAAATAATCGCGAAGGACATTAAGGGTTTTAAGGTTTCAAGATTTCATTACGATTTCGTGACCTAAAAATTACATTGCACGGAGAAAGAATGGCGAAAAAGCCAAACCTAACAAAGTTTGCGCAGAAGAAGCAATCCCGATCCAGCCGCAGCCAGTACGAAATAAATGGTTCTCTCCCACCTTGTAATGAGAACAATTAGGTATTATGGGGGACACAAGCAATTGTTCAGCAGCCAATTCTTCCACAGTGAATCATGGATGTGTGATATACCAGAGTCGTCGAACGAGAGGAGTCGTTCGAAATGGCAAACTTGGTTCTGGAGCAGATGAGGCGTTGACGTTTGGTGGAGCGGGAAGGTTGGCGGAAAAATAATATCTTGCAAGCCGAGAGGAAAAGTGCGAGCACGTTGTCCAATGCGTCGACGCTAGAGGAAAACTCCTTGTCGTAAATGTAAGCACAGCCCGCATTCCTGTCAAATGTTGGTAGCCTGTAGTGAGGTTTGTCTTAGGGGGTACGTATGTTAGGGTTTGCTACTTGTACCCCAACCACCATCAATGAACCAACACTTCCGATTCTGACATGGTATCACCTAGGTTAGGATCCTGTAGGATCCCGTTCCTCCCGACCTCGTTCGTATCGCCCGAGCCTGTCTCCCTCTCTCGTATTAATTAACCTACGTCTTGCCCGAGCCTAGCGCCGGCCCGCTCTCGTCCCGTTCCTTCGTTACCGCCCGTTCCGCCGATCCCCTACTCGAGTAGCGTAGCGACCTTCCTCCCCCTGCTGGCCCGTCACGTTTTCCCCCTCCGAGGCCCGTCGAGTCGCGTTTTTCCCCCCGCTGCCCGTCGAGTCGCGTTTTTCCCCCCGCTGCCCGTCGAGTCGCGTTTCCCCCCCTGCAGCCCGTCGTCCCGTCGCCCGTCCCCCCCTTACGCGCGCCGCCGCTGCGCCTTCCCCCGTCGCCCGCCGTCGCGCCCGCTCCTGCGCCCGTCACCGCGGCGCCCGCCGTCGCTGCCCGCCGCGGCGCCCGCCGTCGCTGCCCGCCGCGGCGCCCGCCGTCGCTGCCCGCCGCGGCGCCCGCCGTCGCTGCCCGCCGCGGCGCCCGACATCGCGCCCGCAGCCTGCGTCCATCGCCGCTGCGCCCGCCTTCGCTGCTCGTCGCGTCGGCCCCCGCGCGGCTGCCCCTTAACGCCCGCCCCCGCGCCCGCGCGGCTGCCCTTAGCCCCCGTGCGGCTGCCCCTTAACGCCCCCCCGTTTAGCTGCGCCTGTGCCTCGTTTAGGGTTTCCCGTTTCGCCCTTTCCCGCCCGAGTTTCGCCACGCCACCTCGTTTAGGGTTTCCTGCCACCGCTTTTCCGTTAGTTTTCACTATGGCGACTCCACGTGTACTTCGTTTCGACGCTGACGGTAGACCTCTTGACTTTTCACTCTGGCTTATGCGCGCTCGCCGTCAGTTAGAGAGTCAGGTCCAGTCAGGCGAGACCCTCTGGGCGCACGCTACTGGTGCCCTCCCTGCGCCCCCCGAACCTACGCCTTTAGGTCCTGCCCCTGACGACGCCGCTAGAGCTCGCTTCGCTAGCCAGCGCGCTGACCTGACAGCTTGGACGTCGCGTGACGCTGCGGCCTGCATCGCGCTCAGCACCCTCCTCCCTGAGTCTGAGGAGGCTCACTTTGCTCAGGTTCGCACTGCTGCTGAGTACCTGACTGCGATTAAGGCCCGCTACTCCACTCCTGCTGCTGTCTCTCTTGGCCGCCTTTTCCTCCCGTTCCTGTTCCCTGACCTCGCCTCATTTGAGCGCTCTGCTGACTTGATTGCTCACCTCCGCTCGCTCGACTCTAGTTACCGCGCTGCTTGCACTGAGGCACAGCTCGCACTGCTTCCTCTTCCTATGGCGATTACTATCTATTTTATCGCCACTAGCCTCCCCGACCGCCTTGCCTCCGTTCGTGACGCGCTTCTCCTGAAGCACCCTAGTGAGCTCACTGTTGACGTCCTTGAGTCTGCACTCAAGGACGTCGAGAGCAACCTCCGCTCCGTCGCCGCTGCCTCTGGTGCTGTGCCCCCCCCGCTCTTCCACGGGTGCACAGTTCCGCAGTTGCCCACCTTTACTGCCTCTCTCGCCACTGCCGCTACTGACGCGACCGCAGCTGCTGTTACGACTTCGTCGCGGTCCCGCGGTAGGGGTGGCAAGAGGGGCGGTGCTGGCGGCGGCGTTGGTGGAGGCGGAGGTAGTGGGGGTGGCGTTGCGACTGGCGGTGGTGGGAGTGCAGGGCCTGGAGAGACGTCTCGTGCAGCGACCGGTGACTCCACTGCGACTGCTGGTGGTGGCGACGCCCGCGTTCGTCAGTCGCCCCTTGTACTGCCAGCCCCGGTGGGTGGAGCAGCGGCGTGGTACCGGGCCCAGCGTCAGCAGCAGCTTCAGCAGCAGCAGCAGCAGCAGCCCCTCTCCTCCCAGCAGCCTCCGCAGCAGCAGCGGCCGCAGCTGGCTTCGGGGTCGGGGCCGCGTCAGCCGCAGCGTGGTGTTGTTTACCCTCCCTGCGCCTATCAGGTTCTGACAGGTGCTCGCCGGGGCCACCCTTGTGGCCGCCTTCACCCCCTGGTTAGTGTTTTGCTCAGCTCACTGACACGGTTCGTTTGGTTTACGGGGTTGGCGGTCCTGCCCCTGACTGGTTTCCCCTTGTTCAGCGTTACGGTTCCGCTCTGTGGGACATGTCTGCCGAGCAGTTAGCTGATCTGATTGGAACTCCTCATGCTATGTATGCTGTTGTTGACTCTAGTGTTTCTGACTCTGTTTACTCTGGTGTTGTTAGCTTAGGTGCTAGCCTTGCTCAGTTGCCTGTTGCTAGTGTAGGTTCTTGTGTAGACACTAGTCCAGCGGCTACCTCGGAGGACGCTTCACTGTCTTTCACGCTGGACTCTGGAGCCTCGCACTGCTTCTTTCGTGACAGCACGACACTTACGCCACTTCCTGCGCCTGTCTCTGTGGCACTGGCTGATCCCACCTCGGGACCAGTCACTGCGCGTCACACTACCACTTTGCCGTGTCCTGCTGCTCCCTCCGGGTCTCTCACTGGGTTTCATGTCCCCTCGTTCTCCCGGAACTTGGTGGGCGTGCGACCCCTCGTGAGTCAGCACGTGGGTGTGTGGTTTGAGCCTTCTGGGGAGACTGCGGTGTGTGTTGACGGGGACTCTTACCAGCCTCTGGCCACCTTTGCTGCTGAGCCGGGTTCCGGTCTCTACACTCTTCACACTGGCCCGCGTGCACGGCAGCGGACGCAGCAGCAGCAGCAGCAGCAGCAGCAGCAGCAGCAGCAGCAGCAGCAGCAGCAGCAGCAGCGGCGGCAGCAGCAGCAGCAGCAGCAGCGGCGGCAGCAGCAGCAGCAGCAGCAGCAGCAGTCGCCGCCGCCGCAGCAGCAGCAGCAGCCGCAGCGGCCGCCGTCGCAGCAGCCCCTACTCCCAGTTCCTGTCCCTCCCCCTAGTCTCCTCCCTGCGTCTCACCAGGTGGTTCCGTCCCCTCAGGTTGTCGCGTCCAGTCCAGTCGCTGCGTCTTGCTCCTGTCGGTCGCTTGCCCACCCCACCGTTCTGTGGCACCACCGGATGGGACACCCTTCTCTTCCACGTCTGCGTGCTATGTCTAGTCAGCGTCTGGTCTTAGGTCTCCCGCGTGTCTTGCCGTCGCTGCCGCCGTCCCTTGCACCACCGTGCGGTCCTTGCGTCGAGGGTCGGCTGCGCGCCACCCCTCACTCCTCCTCCCTTCGTCCGGCCACCGAGCCGTTTGAGACGCTTCACCTGGACGTCTGGGGCCCCGCCTCTCGCCTTGGCCCTGAGCGTGAGCGTTTCTTTCTGGTGGTTGTTGACGACTACTCCCGCTACACCACAGTGTTCCCCCTGGCGAAGAAGTCTGAGGTGACTTCTACGCTGATCAGGTGGTTGCTCACCACCGAGGACACTCGTGGCCGTCGTGTCAGCTGTCTTCACTCCGACCGCGGGGGTGAGTTTCGCTCCGGCATTCTCGCTGGATTCTGTCGCGAGCAGGGCATTCGTCAGTCCTGGACGCTTCCAGAGTCCCCACAGCAGAATGGGGTTGCTGAGCGTCGCATAGGCTTGGTCATGGAGATTGCCCGCACCTCCCTGACTCACGCCCGTGCCCCCCATTTTCTGTGGCCTTACGCGGTTCGGTACGCCGCGCACCAGCTGAACCTCTGGCCACGCGTCTCTCGGCCAGAGGCTTCGCCGACCAGTCTTTGGACCGGGTCCCCTGGTGTTGCGTCGAGGTTTCGTGTCTGGGGTTGCTTGGCTCTTGTCCGCGACACCTCTGCGGACAAGCTCTCGCCTCGCGCCGTTCCTTGTGTCTTCCTTGGTTTTCCTGAGGCCTCCTCTGACTTCACCTTTTACCACCCTCCCTCTCACCGGTTCTTTGACTCCCGTGACGTCCGTTTTGAGGAGTCCACCCCGTACTACGTCAGGTACCCCAGTCGAGGTCTCCCGGTTCCTCCTCCCCCCCTCTTCCTGACTGCCGCTCCCCCTCCTGCTCCCCCGGTACAGCCTCCCCCCCCTGGTCCAGCCCCGTCAGGCTACCCCTCCTCCTTCGGTAGCCCCTCCGGTACAGCCTCCCTCCCCACAGTCCTCCTCGCAGCGTGCCGCAGGTGCTAGCTCTCGAGAGGTTGGTGCCGAGCCTGTTCCTGTACCGGTTTCTGGTTCTGGGGGTGCTGGAGTTGGAGCTGAGCCGGTGGGTGCAGAGGACTCTTGTCTTCCGGGAGCTGGTGCTGGTCGCGCGGACACTGGGGGTGCTCCGTCTGGGGGTGAGGGTGCGCCTCTTTCGGGTTCTGGTGAGCCTGGGTCTGGAGCTGGTGTTAGTGCTGCCTCTGGGGGTGGTGCGCCTGGTCCTTCGGGGGTGGACTCTGGAGCTGCCGCTGCTCCGGACACTACTCCGCCCCCCCACCCCTACCCGACTAGGCACCAGGCTCGTGTTCGCCGTGCCCGTGAGGAGCAGCTGGCGTTGGAGAGAGAGGAGAGGGAGTTACAGCGGCTGGAGGAGCAGCAGCAGCAGCTGGAGCCGCAGGAGCAGCAGCAGCAGCAGCAGCAGCTAGACCCGCAGGAGCAGCAGTCCCAGCAGCAGCCGCAGCCGCAGCAGCAGCAGCCGCAGCAGCAGCAGCAGCAGCCACTTCCTCCTCCTGTCTCGGGTCTTCGGACCCTTGGTCTCCCCTCTCCTTCTCCTCCCTCCTCCGCCTCTCCTCCTGTCTACGGTCCCCTTTCGCCAGGCCCCTCATGAGTGGCACGACACTCTCCGCTCTACCCTCTCTGACCTTGGGTTCCAGCCGTCTTCTGCCGACCCGTCGCTGTTTGTTCGCCGTGGCTCCACACCGTTCTTCATTCTGGTCTACGTCGACGACCTAGTTTTCGCCACTGCTGACAGGGTTGCTTTGGCAGACGTGAAGTCCGAACTGCAGAAGAGACACACGTGCACTGACCTTGGTGAGCTGCGCCATTACCTTGGGCTGCAGATCACCAGGGACAGAGCTGCTCGCACCATTACACTCTCACAGTCACACATGGTGCAGCAGGTCCTTCAGCGGTTCGAGCTTCAGCACTCCACAGTACAGCGCACACCTCTTGCTGTTGACCACAGACTCACTGGCCCCTTTCCTGACGAGCCGTTTGAGCCTAGTGGTCCCTACGCAGAGCTTGTGGGTTGCCTCATGTACCTGATGACTTGTACTCGCCCGGACCTCGCTTTCCCTCTCAGCATCCTTGCGCGCTTTGTTGCGCCAGGGAGACACCGTCCTGTTCACTGGACAGCAGCTGTGAGGGTGGCGAAGTACCTAGCGACGACATCAGGCATGGGGCTAGTTCTTGGAGGGCAGCAGGCTGTTGTACTTACTGGTCACTGTGACTCTTCTTACGCTGACGACGCTGAGACTCACAGGTCTACTCAGGGGTACTGTTTCAGTCTGGGTTCTGGAGCTGTTTCCTGGCGGTCCACGCGCTCCTCTTCGGTCTCGACCTCTACAGCTGAGGCTGAGATCTACGCTGGTGCCATGGCGGCACAGGAGTTGCGTTGGTTGACGTTCTTGCTCGCCGACCTGGGTGAGCGGCCGAGCTCTGCACCGACCTTGTTCACTGACAACAAGGCATCGATTCTCCTTTGTCGAGAGCCACGACTGGAGAGCAGAGTGAAGCACATTAACGTCAGGTACTTCCTTCTGCGAGAGTTGCAGAGACGTGGGCAGGCTCGCTTCGAGTTTGTGGAGTCTGAGGCCAACACTGCAGACATCTTCACCAAGGCGCTTCCGCCTTGTGACCACCACAGGTGTTGTGTGCAGTTAGGCCTTGTTGACACTGGTTTTCGGCTTACTTAGTCTTGAGTTCACTGTTTGTTTTGCTTGTACCCTTTCTATATAACTCTGTTATTTCTTGGACTGGCCTTGTGGCCATTGTTGCTTGTGCTCAGAGTGTGTGGTGACGTTGTGATCCACCCTGAGCTTTGTTTCTTTGTGACTGGTCTTATGACCGTACTCTTTTGGTTTTGCTAGACACCCCTCACTTAGGCTATGGGGGTGTGTCAAATGTTGGTAGCCTGTAGTGAGGTTTGTCTTAGGGGGTACGTATGTTAGGGTTTGCTACTTGTACCCCAACCAACATCAATGAACCAACACTTCCGATTCTAACAATTCCATATAACCTTGGCGGAAGCGCCGACGAGCAGGCTTAAAGGGGCAACTTGCCCTGCAAGGGGAGAAAGAGGAAAATGGCCTTGTTGATTGTCGATCTATTGCCTAAGATGCTGCACTGCGACGCGTTGGATGGTTGTGAGAATGGTGACAACGTTTCCACACTCGAAAATGATATGTGGAAGAGTGATACGAGTGCAATTGAGTGAGCGAGCGAGAATTGCACTATCGAAGCAAATCACTACAATGAGCGAAGGAATGAGCGAGACCTAAATAGCGAAGGCCACAGTGGTAACGGTAACGAACTGTGGGTGACGCGCGACGGGCCTAGGACTAAGGTTGGGACAGAATTGTCGAAGCGGAGGCACGTAGCGCGGGTTACCAGCCGAGCCGTGAGGTTGGGTTGCGACGGGCGAGGTGGCGGGAAATAGTCGAGGCGGGTGTCGCGAGTGATAACGGTTCCGAGTGTGGCGAGCACAGTGATGTCCGCGCTAAGTAGGGATGCGGCGTAAGGAAATAGAAATTTCCTTACACTACCCCCCACCCTAATGATGACCTTCTTACAAGAGTGCGTGCACATCTCTGAAATTGCGTGCGCATATAGTCGGTGAGGACGGGGTGGTTTTCAATATTGTCCAGAGGTATTTAGTTGTCTTCTGTCGGTGTGCAGTCTTTCTATTGAATCAAGAACTCGATCTTGCGAGCTGCTCGTGGGTCACGAACTCGGTGGCTCTGAATCTTCTCGGGTGTGATGATTGGCTCGTTGGGTGGTCGTGTTGTGCTGGCTGGGTGGTGGCGAGACAGTTGGCTTGTGGAAGGTACGTAGGGGCAGAGTAGGCGGACGTGGAATGACGGTCCGCCGTACCAGTCAGCAGGGAGGAGAAGGTGGGCAGTAACGGGTGTGATCATGTGGCTGATGCGAAATGGCCCGCAATATCGAAGGTAAAGTTTTGGGGTAATGGGCAGGCAAAGGTTTTGGGTGTCGAGCAGTACTAGGTCGTCGGGCTGATAGTTACGGGACGGTGGTGGCAGTCGGCTTTTCGCTTAGCGATGATGTTTGATTTCTTGAATGCGTCTGTTGCCCGGATTCGTGCTGCTTAAAAAAAAGTCGGCGAACTGCTGCACATGTGGTCCTGGGTTGTCGAGATTCGGCGTCATGGGTGGAGTCTTGTACGTAGTTCATGTAAAATGGTGACTGTTGGGTCGTGGCGGATGGCGAGATATTGTACGCGAACTCGATGAATGGCAATGCTATTCCCACGTGTTCGGGTCGTCACACGCGGCTCGGATGAGCTCTTCCATGGTCTGGTTTGTCCGTTCTGTCTGTCCGTCGGTTTGAGGGTGGTACGAAGAATTGAGATGTGGTCGCGTGCTGAATTGCTGCCGAAGATTCCGCCAGAAGTTGCTGGTGAGTGTCCCTGTTGCTAATGATTGCTGCTGGTATTCCGTGTAATCGAACGACGGTGGCAATGGAGAGCCGAGCTGTTTCTTCGGCTGAGATGGATTTCTTGCAAGCTGCAAAATGCGCCATCTTCGTCAAGTGATCGATGACGACTAAGATCGCGTCGTTCCCACTTGCCCCGGCCGGTAACCCCGTGACGAAGTCCATCGTCACCTATTGCCAAGCACGCTCTGGGGGTGGTATCGGCTGCAACTGCCCTGCCGGCCGCTTCCGTGATGATTTCATGAGTTGGCAGGTGGGACACGATGCCACGTGTCGCTATCATCGGTCAACATTTTGGGCTAGTAATAGTATCACTGCAGCAGCTGCTGTGTCTTTTCTACCCCGAAGTGACCTGAGGTAACGCCGTCATGTACCTCCTATAGTAACAGCTCCCTTAGTAAAGTGTTGGCCGGTACCCAGATGTGATCGGTACCGGCTTTTACGTAATTAACCCCTCTTGCTGCTGCGAACTGCTGTGAATTTCCTACTGTGAAGAATGGATCTGTTTGATATCCGTGGTTGAATAGTGTTAAAATAGTAGGCACAAGTAGGAGCCATAGCTAGGGTTTACCTAGCTAGGCAAGAGAGAAATGAGCAAAGGAGGGCGACACAGCCAGATCTCCTCGTGTAGGCTGCCCTGTAAGAAGGCAGTGCTGAAGTCAAGTGAGTGAAGCTCGTAGTCGCGCTGAGCGGCTATGTGCAGCAGCACCCGAAGAGTGGTCATCTTCGGGGTGGGGGAGAAGGTCTGAAAGAAGTCAACTCCCTCTCGCTGGCTGAAGCCTCGAGCAACGTAGCGCGCCTTGAAGACAGGAGGAGAACCCGGCGGCCGTTTCACCCTGAAAATCCACATGCCACTGACGATGTTCGCCCCAGGAGGGGGAACCTCATCGACGTAGGTGCGTGTGGACTTCCAGGAAGCCATCTCTGCGTCCATGGCTGTCTGCCACTGAGAGGAGTAGGGACCCGCCATCGCCTCAGCGTAAGAGCGCGGGGTCGGGATGTCTGGTGCATCCGGGTCTCCCTCAGGGGCAACTAGTAAGGACACGAGACGGGGCAAAACAGCAGCAAGGCACTGGAACTCCTCCTGTCTGTCCTCAAGGACGTCCGTGCCAAGAGCACACTCACCCCCGACGGACGGAGGACAGACAGACTCAGACTCAGACTCAGCGACAAGGCTAGCAGCGTAGTCTAGACGACACCGGGCAGCAAAGTCAACCAGCTCAGCGACCAGCGCAGACGCAGCAGAGGACTCAAAGGTAGGGTCAGTGACAACAGTAGCGAGGAGGCGCGTGACAGTGGGACTGGCAGCACGACGGGAGTCAGACTCCGGGTCAGGAAGAGTAGGAAGAGAGGAAGCGGGAGGAGACGGTAGCGGGACACGCTGAGGAGCAGTGGAGGGACGCAGAGTCATGTAGTGAGTGCCAGGGACAGGAGGAGGACGCTCACGTGGGACACGACGACCAGTGCGAGCAGTACGAACAGGCGACGCAGGACGAGACTCAGGCTCACGACGCTCTGTAAGACCTCCCGTGGGACCAGTGTAAGGAGAGGGAGCAGGGAGAGGCGAGGCAGGCGGTAACTGTGACTGCGGCTGGACAGGCGGAGGACACTCTACGGAGGGAGGAGGACAAGGAGAAGGAGCCTGACCAAGAACCTGCTGAAGGAGCGGTACGAAGTACGGTCGCGGCCGCGCAGCGTCTCCAGAACCAGTAGAGACAGCAGCAGCAGGGTCCTCAGCACCAGCAGTAGCTCCAACGCCCGGGTCCTCAGCACCAGCAGCAGCTCCACCGCCCGGGTCCTCAGCACCAGGAGCAGCTCCAACGCCCGGGTCCTCAGCACTAGCAGCAGCTCCACCGCCCGGGTCCTCAGCACCAGCAGCAGCGCCACCGCCCGGGTCCTCAGCACCAGCAGCAGCGCCACCGCCAGGGTCTGCAGTACCAGGAGCACCACTCCGAAGACTGCAGCGCCGCGCGTACCACTCTCGGATCTGCTGAATGGGGGGGAGCTCCTGGGTAGGAGGGGAAGTACTGGTACGAGCTCCAGCAGCACCTCTCCGGAGGCGGCAGTACTGCAGGTACCTCTCCTGCAGCTGCTGGGAGGAGAGGGCTCCTCCAGGTGTAGCACGCTCAGGCTCAGCACCTCCAGACACAGCACCCCCAGACGCAGCACCCCCAGGCTCAGCACCTCCAGACTCCGCACCTCCAGGCTCCGCACCCCCAAGCTCAGCACCCCCAGACTCAGCACGGTCAGGCTCAGCACCCCCAGGCTCAGCACCCCCAGACACAGCACCCCCAGACGCAGCACCTCCAGGCTCAGCACCTCCAGACTCCGCACCCCCAGGCTCAGCACCCTCAGACTCCTCACGGTCAGGCTCAGCACCCCCAGCAGGACGAGAGTCAACAGCTACCTCGACAGGCTCAACCGGGTCTACCTGGGACACACATGAGGGAGCGGCACCCTGAGGGGGGAGGGGGTCTGGTACCTCAGCACCTGGAGCGAGGAAGAGAGGCGGGGGGGGGAGCGGGGCAGTGCGGTAGGGGAAGAGGCGGTAGTAGGGGACGGACTCGTCAAAAGTGACGTCCTGAGAGGCCAGGACACGACGCGAGGTGGCGTGGTAGAACTGCCAACCAGGCGCGTCCGGGACAAAGCCAAGGAAGACACAGGGGACAGCTCGACGGGAGAGCTTGTCCGCGGACGTATCGCGAACAAAAGCTCGAGATCCCCAGACCCGAAAACGCGACGCATCGCCAGCCTCTCCCGTCCAACGCAGTGTCGGAGAAGTCTCCGGTAAGGAGACACGGGGCCAGAGGTTGAGCTGATACGCAGCGTATCGGACTGCAAACGGCCACAGAAAGTGGGGGGCAGCCGCATGAACCAAGGAGGTACGAGCGACCTCCATGACCAAGCCAATGCGGCGCTCAGCAACCCCATTCTGCTGTGGAGAGGCCGGAAGCGTGAACGACTGCTCAATGCCCTCCTACTGACAGAAGGCCTCCAAGAGGCCAGAGGAAAACTCCCCACCTCTGTCAGAGTGCAGACGCAGGACAGGGAAGTCGGAGCGGAAACGCTCACTGAGCTGGAGACGAGATCTGCGGATCCAAGGGATCAAGACATCAAGGACCTCACCCTTGGTGCGCAAGGGGAAGACCGTGGTGTAGCGCGAGAAGTCGTCAACAACAATCAGGAAGTACCTCTCCTGACCCTGACCACGGACGCGGGCTGGGCCCCACACGTCCATGTGAAGCGTCTGCAAAGGAGCAGTCGTCGGGGGGAAGGAGGAGGAGTGAGGAGCGGCGCGCTGCCGTCCCTCGACACAGGGAAGACAGGGAGGAGCAGGCGAGGGTGGGAGGGGAGGGAGAACCCTGGGAAGACCAGCAACAAGGTCCCGTTTGTGCATGGCCCGAAGGCGCTGCACAGACGGGTGACCAAGGCGGTGGTGCCAGAGGACAGTCTCATGCGCCAGAGAGCGACACGAGCAGGGAGCGGACAGCTGACCTGACGTAGACGCAGACGCGGACGCAGCTACCTGAGGGGACTCAGTGGTCAGTGTGTACAGGTCCGACCCCGGCTGCCGAGTGAAGGTAGCCAGGTGACGGCCCGTCCGAGCACACGTGCAGTGGGTCACGCGCTCGTAAGCAGGGGTGAACTGGTGAACACCCCCGTCCTGGAGCGCACTACCTGCCACCAAGTTCGTAGAGAACGAGGGGAGGTAGAGGCCTGACAGTGTGCCTGACGGGACCGCAGGACAAGGAAGGACAGTGGAGGAGGTCGCAACGACCGGACCCCCAGAGGGGTCAGCGAGGGAGACCGCAACTGGCCGAGCAAGTGGCTCAAGGACAGTGCGGTCACGAAAGAAACAGCGAGAAGCACCTGAGTCCAGTGTGAAGGTGTGCAGTGCTGCAGTCGACTCAGTACCAGAGGGCACGGACTCACTAGCACCTAGAGCAGCAGCCTCACCAGGACCTGGGGCAGCAGACTCACTAGCACCTAGAGCGGCAGCCGGACTGGTCTGAATGCCCGGGTCGGGCGGAACACGCAAGTACTGAGCACCCTCTCCACTAGTAAACATAGCATACATGGCAGTGAGAATAGCATCAAAGTCTAAAGCCCAGATATCAATTCCCTTCTTCTCCAGATCAAACCAGCGGGGCAGCTCATTGCCGTCAGGGAACTGGGCACGCCACGCGTCAGTAAGGCGCGCGAAACAGCGCTGTGTGGGATGCGGCCTCCCACACTGCTGGCCAGTGCGGTCACCAGTGCGAATGACGTACGTGCAGGTAAAGCCACGCTGCGCATACCACTCACGGGCGGCCTGAAGCGACGGGGCGGGCTGCTGACTCTGGCCACCGCCAGCGCCTCCACGACCACCACTGCCGCCGCCACCGCCTCGGCCACCTCCACCCCTGCCGCTGCCACGACCACCTCCGCCTCCGCTGCCGCCTCCACCCCTGCCGCCACTCCCGCCGCTGCTGTCACCACCCCCACTGCCGCCACTAGCCTCCCCAGCCGCTCCTCCACTCCCACCGCCTCCACCCCCACCTCCTCCGCCGCCACCTCCACCCTTGCCCCCTTTGCTCTTGCGGCGCCCGCTCGAAGCAGACGCGGCCCCGACCTTCTCAGCACCAAGGAGGTCGACAGCAGCAGCAGAGGCGACAGAGGGGAGGAGAGGGGAAGGGGAACACCCCTCAAAGAACGGGGTGCGGGGGTCGCCACGAGAGGTGCCTACAGCGACGATGCTCGCCTCAGCTGCAAGCAGTTCCTTCTCGAGGAGGGCAATGGTGAGTTCAGTGGGGGAGCGAGAGAGGAAGTGGTCCCTGACTATGCGCAGGGAGTCGGGGAGGCGGGTGACTATGTGGTAGAGAGTGATCCAGAGCGGGGGGGGGTTGCTGGTGAGGAACTCGTCAGGCATAGCAGCGCGAAAGCGGGCCTCACTGGTCTTAAGGTGGGTGATGAGGTCAGCAACTGTCTGAAAGGAGGCCAGGTCGGGGAACAGGTAGGGGAGAGTGAGGCGGCCTAGTGTGGCAGAAGCGGGGGAGGAGTAGCGAGCGACTACAGCAGTGTACAGGTCCTTAGCAGTTTTGTGCTGGCCAAAGTGCTCGCGCTCGTCGATCGGTAGGGAGTTACGAATAGCGAAGCGAGCGTGGGCGTCACGAGTCTGCCACTGTGAGCGCTGAGTGCTGTCAGCAGTGGTAGGAGGGGCAGTAGCGTTGCCTAGGGCGTGATCGTACAGTGAAATGTCCTCCTTAGCAGTGAGCTGTAGAAAGAGGTGGAGGTCATCGAGCCAGGTTTCGAACTTCACTGGACGGCCCTCAGTATCGAAAGTAAGTACAGTAGGAGTAGCCATAGCGGCAGTAGCAGTAGCGGTAGAAACAGTAAGAATGAGGCCGCAGGGAAGCTGTGGGCAGTGTCAACGGGGCCGGCGGGGCCACTAAAAGAACGTGCACGGGCGGTAGCGGCAGAGTTGACAGGCCGGCAGCGGCTTAGGCGCACGGGCGGCAGCGGCAGTGACAGCACACGGGCGGCAGCAGCTGATGCGCACGGGCGGGAGCGGCAGTGGGCGCAGTAGCGGCGGCTGCAGCGGGAGCGAGTGCAGCAGCGGCAGCGGTAGCAGGCGCAACAGTAGCGCACGGGCGGTAGCGGCCGCGGCGCACGAGCGGGAGCGGCTGCGGGCGACGCGCAGGCGGTAGCTGCAGCGGCGGGCCCGTGGTAGCGGCAGCTGCAGCGGGCGACGAGCAGGCGGCAGCTGCAGCGGGCGACGAGCGGGCGGCAGCAGCAGCGAGCGACGAGCGGGCGGCAGCTGCAGCGGGCGACGAGCGGGCGGGCGCTGCAGCGGGCGGGCGGCAATGTGCAGGCCGGCGGGGCCGCTGCGGGCTGCGCTATCAAGAAATCGGCCGCGCGCGGGCAGCTAGCGGGTCGCGCGCGGTTAAAAAAAAAATAATAATAATAAAAAAACGAGCCGCGCGCGATTGGCTGGCGGGCTGCGCGCGCGCGGTAGGTAGGAGGCGCACTAGGGCGCGTAGGCGCACGAGGGCGCACGGTAGGTAGGTAGGTAGGTAGGTAGCGGTGGGCCCTAAGAACGGTCCTAGCGAAGGACCTGCTCTGAAACCATATAGTCACCATGTCAGAATCCCAACCACTAACCATTATGATAAAAGGGCTTATTTGTGTAGCGGGTGAGTGCGCCCATAACCCCCCAGACCAACGTGCCTGTAACCCTTCCCTAGGATCAATCGGGGATCACCAGTGGACCTCTGACACCCCCCCGCACTGGGATGCCCGAAGTGCACACACCGGGATTCGAACCCGAGACCTTTGCTCTGATACCATGTCGGAATCAACAGACAGGAATGACTGTACTAGCACAAAGTTGGATACAAGTAGGAAACCCTAATCTAGTGTACCCCCTAAGGTGTAACCCACTACAGCCTACAATCATATAAACATATAATGTTTGACAGCAATATCGAAGGTAAAGTTTTGGGGTAATGGGCAGGCAAAGGTTTTGGGTGTCGAGCAGTACTAGGTCGTCGGGCTGATAGTTACGGGACGGTGGTGGCAGTCGGCTTTTCGCTTAGCGATGATGTTTGATTTCTTGAATGCGTCTGTTGTCAAACATTATATATGTTGGGTTTGTTAGGCTACAGTGGGTTAGCCTATATGGGGTACACAATTCTAGGGTTTGCTATTTGTACTGATTTCTCTGTTAGTTCAATCATTCCAGTCTCTTCTTTTTGACATGGTTTCAGAGCAGGTCCTTCGCTAGGACCGTTCTTAGGGCCCACCACTGACTACCTACCTACCTATCTACTGTCGGAGCGTCGCGTTAGCGCCTCCCCCTCAGCGCCCTCGTGCGCCCTCGTGTACGGCCCCTTAAGGCCCCGTCGACCCCGCGCGCTGTCAGAATGCTATTATTGTCTAGCCTGCAGTGGGGTACTCTATAGCGAGTACAGCCCAATCTAGGGTTTGCTATTTGTACTCAACTGCCTGCTAGTTCAACCCCTCTCCTTTCAATCATTCTTGCCTAGTGATTTTCTCATGGTATCAGAGCAGGTCGACCCTCCTGGGTCGATCCTGTGGGTGGGCCCACCACCTAAGCCTTCCGCTGCTACTGCTACTGCTACTGCTACTCCCTGTCCGCCGCGCGCCCCGTGGCGCGCGGCGTCGAAACTAGGGTTTTCAGCCCGCCGTGCGCCCCGAGGCACGCGGCGGTTTTCTGCCCGCCGTGCGCCCCGAGGCGCGCGGCGGTTCTCTGCCCGCCGTGTGCCCCGAGGCGCGCGGCGGGTTCCTGCCCCGTCACTCGGCACGTCGCCCCCGGGAGGCGCTGCGACGGGCGACGGGGACCCGCGCGTCGCCCCCCGTCGCCCGTCGTGGCCTGCGCGCGGCCCGTACACCCGGCACGCGGCCCGTACGGGCTGCGCCAGGCCTGCGCGCGGCCCGTACGGGCTGCGCCAGGCACGCGCGCGGCCCGTACGGGAAGCGCCAGGCCCGCGCGCGGCTCGGGCCGCCTGCGCGCGGTTCGGGCGGCTCTACCAGGCCCGTGGGCGGCCCGTTCCTCGCTGCTCCTGCCCTCTCCACTGTCCCCCGTGCTTCTACCGGCGCCTCACCCCTCCTACAGCCCGTTCTCCTAAATTAGGGTTTGGGGGTGAAGAGTGTGGGGGTGGCGGCTATGGGGGTGTCGGTTGTGAGTTCCTCCCCCTGCTCCTCCTCCTCCCTCGTCTCCCTCTGCTACAGCTGCCGTTGAGGGGGGTGGTGTGTGGGAGCCTAGGGTTTGGGGTTTAAGGGGGGTACCGTCGGAGTGGAGCTAGGGTGTCAGCAGGGGGTGTGTGAGAGGGGCGTGGGACGGTCGGGGGAGATTGCGTGGAGGTAGCCGTCGTGACGCCAGCAGCGCCAGTAGTCCGGATGCCCTCGCGCGTTTCGGTAGCCCAGCGAGCCTGCTTCGCCAGTCGCCTGTGGGTCCGTTGCTCCTGTGTGTGCTCGTCGTAGCCGCGGAGCCAGATACTCCCGTAGTCCGGTGCCCTCGTGCGCTCGGTAGCCACTGTGCGCGCCGCTCCTGTTGCCCGTGTGTCTGCAGCTTCAGTCGGCGCCTTTCATCTTCTCTCCTCTCGCCAGCCCTCCTCCTCCTCGCTTGCCCTCTGTGACTGCCTCTAGCTTTGCTCATAACTGTGAACTTTAAACTATTGCTTCTTGAACTTGTGCTCAGAATGTGTGGTGACATTGTGATCCACCCTGAGCTTGTACTGCTTTGCTTGCTCTGCTGATTACACCCCACTTTGGCTATGGGGGTGTGTCAGAATGCTATTATTGTCTAGCCTGCAGTGGGGTACTCTATAGCGAGTACAGCCCAATCTAGGGTTTGCTATTTGTACTCAACTGCCTGCTAGTTCAACCCCTCTCCTTTCAATCATTCTTGCCTAGTGATTTTCTCACGCGCCGCCCCTTAGTGACTCGCGCGTCGCGCCTTAGAGGCCCCGTCGACCCGTGCGCGCCCCGCTTAAGGCCCCGTTTGGCCCCGTCGACCCGCCCGCGGCCCGCTTAGTGGCCCCGTTTAGCCCCGTCGACCCGCGCGCGCCCCACGTACGGCCCTGTTTGGCCCCGTCGACCCGCCTGCGCCCCGCTTAGAGGCCCCGTTTGGCCCCGTCGACCTGCGCGCGCCCCGCTTACGGCCCCGTTTGGCCCCGTCGACCCGCACGCGCCCCGCTTACGGCCCCGCTTGACCCGTCGACCCCGCGCGCGCCCCGCTTAGAGGCCCCGTTTGGCCCCGTCGACCTGCGCGCGCTCCGCTTACGGCCCCGTTTGGCCCCGTCGACCCGCGCGCGCCCCGCTTACGGCCCCGCTTGACCCGTCGACCCCGCGCGCGCCCCGCTTAGAGGCCCCGTTTGGCCCCGTCGACCTGCGCGCGCCCCGCTTACGGCCCCGTTTGGCCCCGTCGACCCGCGCGCGCCCCGCTTACGGCCCCGCTTGACCCGTCGACCCCGCGCGTGACCCGCTTAGAGGCCCCGTCGACCCTATCCGCCGCCCCAAAGCGGCTCTCACACCCCTACCCGCACCGCACGCGACAGCCGCGGCCCCGCCAGCAACAGGCCGCCCGAACCGAGCCGCCCAGTCCGAGCCGAGCCGAGCAGCCAGAACCGAGCCGCGCCGCCCGCACTGAGCAACTTCTCTGGACCGAGCCGCCCTACCTGCGTCGCGCTGCCCACTGCGTTTAGGACTCACTTACTGCTACTGCTACGGCTACTCCTACTGCTACTATGGCTACCCCGCCTGTACTAGCTTTCGATGCTGAGGGCCGCCCAGTGAAGTTTGATACTTGGCTTGATGACCTGCACCTCTTCCTACAGCTCACTGCCAAGGAGGATATCTCACTGTATGACCACGCCCTCGGCCATGCTCCTGCCCCTGCTACTGATGCTGACAGCACTACCCGCTCACAGTGGCAGACTCGTGACGCCCACGCTCGCTTTGCCATCCGCAACTCCCTGCCGTTAGATGAGCGCGAGCACTTTGGCCAGTGCAAGACTGCTAGGGACCTCTACACCGCTGTAGTTGCCCGTTACTCCTCACCCGCTTCTGCTACGCTAGGCCGCCTCACTCTTCCCTACCTGTTCCCCGACCTAGCCTCCTTTCACACTGTCGCAGACCTCATCACCCACCTTAAGACTAGTGAGGCCCGCTTTCGCGCTGCTATGCCTGCCGAGTTTCTCACTAGCAACCCCCCCCCGCTCTGGATCACTCTCTACCACATCGTCACCCGCCTCCCTGACTCTCTGCGCGCAGTCAGGGACCACTTCCTCTCTCGCTCCCCCACTGAGCTCACTGTTGCCCTCCTCGAGAAGGAACTGCTTGCAGCTGAGGCGAGCATCGTCGCTGTAGGTACCTCTCGTGGCGACCCCCGCACCCCGTTCTTCGAGGGGTGTTCCCCTTCCCCCCTCCTCCCCTCTGTCGCCTCTGCTGCTGCTGTCGACCTCCTTGGTGCTGAGAAGGTCGGGACCGCGTCTGCTTCGAGCGGGCGCCGCAGGGGCAGAGGGAACAGGGGCGGGGGTGGCGGCGGAGGAGGTGGGGGTGGAGGCGGTGGGAGTGGAGGCGCGGCTGAGGAGGCTAGTGGCGGTAGTGGGGGAGGCGACAGCAGCGGCGGGAGTGGTGGCAGGGGCGGAGGCGGCAGCGGAGGCGGAGGTGGTCGTGGTGGCGGCAGGGGTGGAGGTGGCCGGGGCGGAGGCGGAGGGGGTGGTGGTCGTGGGGGCACTGGCGGAGGGCAGAGTCAGCAGCCCGCCCCGACGCTTCAGGCCGCCCGTGAGTGGTATGCGCAGCGTGGCTTTACCTGCACGTACGTCATTCGCACAGGTGACCGCACCGGCCAGCAGTGTGGGAGGCTGCACCCCACGCAGCGCTGCTTCGCCCGCCTTACCGACGCGTGGCGCACCCAGTTTCCTACTGCCACTGAGCTGCCGCGCTGGGCTGAGCTGGAAAAGAGGGGTGTTGATATTTGGGCTTTAGACTTTGATGCTATTCTCACTGCCATGTATGCGATGTCTATTAGTGGAGAGGGTGCTCAGTACTTGCGTGTTCCGCCCGACCCGGGCATTCAGGCCAGTCCGGCTGCCGCCCTAGGTGCTAGTGCGTCCGCTCCCGCAGGTCCTGGTGAGGCTGCTGCCCTAGGTGCTAGTGCGTCTGTGCCCCCTGGTACTGAGTCGACTGCAGCACTGCACACCTTCACACTGGACTCAGGTGCTTCTCGCTCTTTCTTTCGTGACCGCACTGTCCTTGAGCCCCTCGCTCGGCCAGTTGCTGTCTCCCTTGCTGACCCCTCTGGGGGTCCGGTCATTGCGACCTCCTCCACTGTCCTTCCTTGTCCGGCGGTCCCGTCCGGCACGCTGTCCGGTCTCTACCTCCCCTCGTTCTCTACGAACTTGGTGGCAGGTAGTGCGCTCCAGGACGGGGGTGTTCACCAGTTCACCCCTGCTTACGAGCGCGTGACACACTGCACGTGTGCTCGGACGGGTCGCCACCTGGCTACCTTCACTCGGGAGCCGGGGTCGGACCTCTACACACTGACCACTGTGTCCCCTCAGGTAGCTGCGTCTGCGTCTGCGTCTGCGTCTGCGTCAGGTCAGCTGTCCGCCCCCTGCTCGTGTCGCTCTCTGGTGCATGAGACTGTCCTTTGGCACCACCGCCTTGGTCACCCGTCTGTGCAGCGCCTTCGTGCCATGCACAAGCGGGACCTTGTTGCTGGTCTTCCCAGGGTGCTCCCTCCCCTTCCCGACTCGCCTGCTCCTCCCTGTATTCCCTGTGTCGAGGGACGGCAGCGCGCCGCTCCTCACTCCTCCTCCTTTCCCCCGACGACTGCCCCCTTGCAGACGCTCCACATGGACGTGTGGGGCCCAGCTCGCGTCCGTGGTCAGGGTCAGGAGAGGTACTTCCTGATTGTTGTTGACGACTTCTCGCGCTACACCACGGTCTTCCCCTTGCGCGCCAAGGGTGACGTCCCTGATGTCTTGATCCCTTGGATCCGCAGATCTCGTCTCCAGCTCCGTGAGCGTTTCCGCTCCGACTTCCCTGTCCTGCGTCTGCACTCTGACAGAGGTGGGGAGTTCTCCTCTGGCCTATTGGAGGCCTTCTGTCAGCAGGAGGGCATTGAGCAGTCGTACACGCTTCCGGACTCTCCACAGCAGAATGGGGTTGCTGAGCGCCGCATTGGTCTGGTCATGGAGGTCGCTCGTACCTCCTTGAGCCATGCGGCTGCCCCCCATTTTCTGTGGCCGTTTGCAATCCGATACGCTGCGCATCAGCTCAACCTCTGGCCCCGTGTCTCCTTGCCCGAGACTTCTCCGACACTGCGTTGGACGGGAGAGGCTGGCGATGCGTCGCGTTTTCGGGTCTGGGGATCCCGAGCTTTTGTCCGCGACACGTCCGCGGACAAGCTCTCCCGTCGCGCTGTCCCCTGCGTCTTCCTTGGCTTTGTCCCGGACGCCCCTGGTTGGCAGTTCTACCACCCCACCTCGCGGCGTGTCCTGGCCTCTCAGGACGTCACTTTTGACGAGTCCGTCCCCTACTACCGCCTCTTCCCCTACCGCACTGCCCCGCTCCCCCCCCCGCCTCTCTTCCTCGCTCCAGGTGCTGAGGTACCAGACCCCCTCCCCCCTCAGGGTGCCGCTCCCTCAGGTGTGTCCCAGGTAGACCCGGGTGAGCCTGTCGAGGTAGTGGTTGACTCTCGTCCTGCTCGGGGTGCTGAGCCTGGAGGTGCTGCGTCTGGGGGTGCTGAGCCTGGGGGTGCTGCGTCTGGGGGTGCTGAGCCTGGGAGTGCTGGGCCTGGAGGTGCTAAGCCTGGGGGTGCTGGTTCTGGGGGTGCTGCGTCTGGGGGTGCTGAGCCTGAGCGTGCTACACCTGGAGGAGCCCTCTCCTCCCAGCAGCTGCAGGAGAGGTACCTCGAGTACTGCCGCCTCCAGAGAGGTGCTGCTGGAGCTCGTCCCGGTACTTCCCCTCCTACCCAGGAGCTCCCCCCCATTCAGCAAAACCGCGAGTGGTACACACGGCGCTGCAGTCTTCGGAGTGGTGCTCCTGGTGCTGCGGACCCTGGGGGTGGCGCTGCTGCTGGTGCTGAGGACCCGGACGTGGGAGCTGCTACTGGTGCTGCGGACCCGCCTGGTGGAGCTACTGCTGGTGCTGAGGACTCGGACGTTGGAGCTGCTGCTGGAGCTGAGGACCCGGGCGGTGGCACTGCTGCTGGTGCTGAGGACCCGGACGGTGGAGCTGCTGCTGGTACTGAGGACTCGGACGGTGGAGCTGCTGCTGGAGCTGAGGACCCGAGCGGTGGCGCTGCTGCTGCTGCTGAGGACCCGGGCGTTGGAGCTACTACTGGCCCTGAGGACCCGGCCGGTGGAGCTGCTGCTGGTGCTGTGGACCCGGCCGCTGGAGTCTCCTCTGCTTCTGGAGACGCTGCGCGGCCGCGACCGTACTTTGTACCGCTCCTTCAGCAGGTTCTTGGGCAGGCTCCTCCTCCTTGTCCTCCTCCCTCCGTAGAGTGTCCTCTGCCTGTCCAGCCGCAGTCACAGTTACCGCCTACCTCGCCTCTCCCTGCTCCCTCTCCTTACACTGGTCCCACAGGAGGTCTTACAAAGCGTCGTGAGCCTGAGTCTCGTCCTGCGTCGCCTGTTCGTCCTGCTCGCACTGGTAGTCGTGTCCGTCGTGAGCGTCCTCCTCCTGTCCCAGGCACTCACTACATGACTCTGCGTCCCTCTACTGCTCCTCAGCGTATCCCTCTACCGTCTCCTCCCGCGTCTTCTTTGCCTCACGTTCCGGACCCTGAGTCTGACCGGTACCGTGCTGAGCACCCTACTGTCACGCGTCTCCTCGCTACTGTTGTCACTGACCCTACCTTTGAGTCCTCGACTGCGTCTGCTCTGGTCGCTGAGTTGGTTGACTTTGCTGCTGCCTGTCGTCTAGACTACGCTGCTAGCCTTGTTGCTGAGTCTGAGTCTGAGTCTGTCTGTCCTCCGTCCGTCGGGGGTGAGTGTGCTCTTGGCACGGACGTCCTTGAGGACAGACAGGAGGAGTTCCAGTGTCTTGCTGCTGCTTTGCCCCGTCTCGTGTCCTTGCTAGTTGCCCCTGAGGGAGACCCGGATGCACCAGACATCCCGACCCCACGCACTTACGCTGAGGCGATGGCGGGTCCCTACTCCTCTCAGTGGCAGACGGCCATGGACGCCGAGATGGCTTCCTGGAAGTCCACACGCACCTACGTCAACGAGGTTCCCCCTCCTGGGGCGAACATCGTCAGTGGCATGTGGATTTTCAGGGTGAAGCGGCCGCCGGGTTCTCCGCCTGTCTTCAAGGCGCGTTACGTGGCTCGAGGCTTCAGTCAGCGAGAGGGAGTTGACTTCTTCCAGACCTTCTCCCCCACCCCGAAGATGACCACTCTTCGGGTGCTGCTGCACATAGCCGCTCACCGCGACTACGAGCTTCACTCACTTGACTTCAGCACTGCTTTCTTGCAGGGCAGCCTGCACGAGGAGATCTGGCTGCGCCGCCCACCGGGCTTCACTGGGTCGTTTCCTCCTGGTACCCAGTGGAGGCTTCAGCGGCCGGTCTACGGTCTCCGCCAGGCTCCGCGTGAGTGGCACGACACATTGAGGACTACACTTGCGGCTCTTGGGTTCGCGCCTTCTACAGCTGACCCGTCGCTGTTCCTGCGCACCGACACTTCGCTGCCGCCGTTCTACATCCTCGTGTACGTCGACGACTTGGTCTTTGCCACTGCTGACACTGCAGGACTCGCCTACGTGAAGTCGGAGCTGCAGAGGAGACACACGTGCACAGACCTGGGTGAGCTGACAAGCTATCTTGGCTTGCGGATCACCCGGGACAGAGCACGGCGCACCATCACCCTGACTCAGTCACACATGGTGCAGCAGGTTCTCCAGCGCTTTGGCTTCACGTACTCCTCGCCTCAGTCCACTCCTCTGCCTACCGGTCACTCGCTCTCAGCTCTGCCTTCGGATGAGTCCGTAGAGCCGAGTGGCCCGTATCCAGAGCTTGTGGGCTGCCTCATGTACCTGATGACCTGCACTCGACCTGACCTTGCATACCCTCTTAGCATCCTTGCACGCTATGTCGCTCCTGGCCGTCACAGGAAGGAGCACATGGATGCCGCTAAGAGGGTGTTGCGCTACTTGTGCAGTACGTCGGGCATGGGGCTTGTGCTTGGAGGGCGAGACCGAGTTGTGCTCACAGGGCACTCAGACGCTTCTTGGGCAGACGACCAGGCCACTCAGCGGTCGTCTCAGGGTTACACCTTCAGCCTTGGCTCTGGCTCAGTTTCTTGGCGCTCTACACGCTCTTCTTCTGTTCTCGGCTCCAGTTGCGAGGCTGAGATCTACGCTACAGCCATGGCTGCCCAGGAGCTACGCTGGCTGACCTACCTGCTGACTGACCTCGGAGAGCCGCCTCGTTCTCCTCCAGTACTGTACGTCGACAACAAGGCTGCCATTGCCTTGTGTGAGGAGCACAGACTGGAGCACAGAACGAAGCACATCGCTCTGCGGTACTTCCTTGCTCGAGAGCTGCAGCAGCGCGGTCAGCTTTGTATTCGCTACGTGGCCACTGAGGCCAACACTGCTGATGTGTTCACCAAGGCGCTTCAGCCTCGTGACCATCAGCGCTTCTGCACTCTGCTAGGCCTTGTGCCTACTGGACCTCACTTGCTTACCTCTTGACTTTGCTTGTACTGTGATCACTATATATATCTATACCTGCATGTTTACTCTTGCTAGGTTGTGATCACTGTATCTCTGGCTCTGTTATAAACCTGCATGTGAACTGGTCTTGTGACCACTAGCTTGTGCTCGGAATTTGTGTGGAATCCTCGAGATCCACCCTGAGCTTGTTGTTGCCTTGCTTTGCCTTGACTGGTCTTGTGACCCCTAGGTCTCCCCCACTTTACCTATGGGGGTGTGTCAAACATTATATATGTTGGGTTTGTTAGGCTACAGTGGGTTAGCCTATATGGGGTACACAATTCTAGGGTTTGCTATTTGTACTGATTTCTCTGTTAGTTCAATCATTCCAGTCTCTTCTTTTTGACATCTGTTGCCCGGATTCGTGCTGCTTAAAAAAAAGTCGGCGAACTGCTGCACATGTGGTCCTGGGTTGTCGAGATTCGGCGTCATGGGTGGAGTCTTGTACGTAGTTCATGTAAAATGGTGACTGTTGGGTCGTGGCGGATGGCGAGATATTGTACGCGAACTCGATGAATGGCAATGCTATTCCCACGTGTTCGGGTCGTCACACGCGGCTCGGATGAGCTCTTCCATGGTCTGGTTTGTCCGTTCTGTCTGTCCGTCGGTTTGAGGGTGGTACGAAGAATTGAGATGTGGTCGCGTGCTGAATTGCTGCCGAAGATTCCGCCAGAAGTTGCTGGTGAGTGTCCCTGTTGCTAATGATTGCTGCTGGTATTCCGTGTAATCGAACGACGGTGGCAATGGAGAGCCGAGCTGTTTCTTCTGCTGAGATGGATTTCTTGCAAGCTGCAAAATGCGCCATCTTCGTCAAGTGATCGATGACGACTAAGATCGCGTCGTTCCCACTTGCCCCGGCCGGTAACCCCGTGACGAAGTCCATCGTCACCTATTGCCAAGCACGCTCTGAGGGTGGTATCGTCTGCAACTGCCCTGCCGGCCGCTTCCTTGATGATTTCATGAATTGGCAGGTGGGGCACGATGCCATGTGTCGCTGTCATCGGTCAACATTTTGGGCTAGTAATAGTATCGCTGCAGCTGCTGCTGTGTCTTTTCTACCCCGAAGTGACCTGAGGTAACGCCGTCATGTACCTCCTATAGTAACAGCTCCCTTAGTAAAGTGTTGGCCGGTACCCAGATGCGATCGGTACCGGCTTTTACGTAATTAACCCCTCTTGCTGCTGCGAACTGCTGCGAATTTCCTCCTGTGAAGAATGGATCTGTTTGATATCCGTGGGTGAATAGTGTTAAAATAGTAGGCACAAGTAGGAGCCATAGCTAGGGTTTACCTAGCTAGGCAAGAGAGAAATGAGCAAAGGAGGGGTTTCACTAGCTGCAGTTGGGATACATATAGCAAACCCTAACTGGGTTGTACCCGCTATAGAGCACCCCACTACAGGCTAGATAATAACATTCTGACACACCCCCATAGCCAAAGTGGGGTGTAATCAGCACAATGAGCAAGCATAGCAGGAGTTCACAATAATAAGCAAAGCTAGAGGTAATCACAGCGGGCAAGTGAGGAGGAGGAGGAGGAGGAAATGTGGAAGGAGAGAAGATGGGAGGCAACGACTGAAGCTGCAGAGGCACGGACACACGAGCGACTGACTCACTGGCTACCGAAGCAAGGGCGACGGACTACTGGAGTGACTGGCTCCGCGGCTAAGACGAGCGGCAGGAGCAACGGACCCACTGGCAACTGGTGCAACAGGCTCACTGGCTACCGAAGCAAGGGCGACGGACTACAGGCGCTGCAGGCGACACGACAGCTACCTCCACACAACCTCCTCCAACTGACCCACACCCTTGACACACACCCCCTGCTGAACCCCTAACTCCACTCCCACGTCACCCCCCTAGCACCACTCCTTCGGCTCCCCACACACCCACCCCCCTCAGCGGCAGCTGCAGCAGTGGGAGACGGAGGAGGAGGAGGAGCAGGGGACGGCGCACACTCTTGCACCCCCATAACCGCCACCCCCACACTCGCCACCCCCAAACCCTAAAACGGGTGGCACGGGGCAGGAGCGCGGGGGACGGCGCGGGGGATGGCGCGCGGCCCTGGGGCAGGCTGCCCGGGCCGCGCGCGGGCCTGGCGCAGCCCGTACGGGCCGCGCGCGGGCCTGGCGCAGGTCGCGCGGGCCGCGTCGGGCGACGGGGGGCGACGCGCGGGTCCGCGGGCTCCGTGACGGGCGACGGGGGGCGCTTCGACGGGCGACGGGGGGCGCTTCGACGGGCGACGGGGCGGTCGACGGGAGGGGGGGAAGCGCGGGTCCCCGGGGTGACGCACGAGGGAGGAAATTGCCGCGCGCCTCGGAGCCACGGCGGGCAGAAAACCGTCGCGCGCCCCGAGCGCGCGGCGGGAAGAAAAAACGAACATCGCGCGCCACGGGACGCGCGACACACAGGAAGGCAGCGGAAGCAGGCGGGCCCACAGGCCAGGAGCGTAACCGCTCTGATAGCATGTTAAAAGAGTAGGCAGAACGAGGAGCCATAGCTAGGTAAACCCTAGCTAGGCAAGAGAGAAATGAGCAAAGGAGGGGTTTCACTAGCTGCAGTTGGGATACATATAGCAAACCCTAACTGGGTTGTACTCGCTATAGAGCACCCCACTATAGGCTAGATAATAACATTCTGACAAATAGGCCTGTAAGTAGCGGGTTGGTCTGGGCGAGTAGTATGGCGTGGATTTGGGCAATGGGGCTGGTCAGTGCGTCGGCGATGTTTGATGCCCCCTTTTTGTAGGTGACCGTGTAATGGAAATTCGACTTGAGGATTTGGGCAATGGGGCTGGTCAGTGCGTCGGCGATGTTTGATGCCCCCTTTTTGTAGGTGACCGTGTAATGGAAATTCGACTTGAGAAAATCGAGCCAGTGGATCTGTCGTGGATTGAGGTGGGGCTGTGCGCGAAAATACTATAGCAACTTGTGGTCTTTCCGTACTGTCACGTCTGCGCGGTCAAGTAACAGCGCCATAATTTGAATGCGTGCACGATCACAAGCATTTCGCGGTCGTGTATCGGGTAATTCTTCTCGGGCGGATGCAGTTTTCGTGACTCGTATGCGATGGGCTGTAGGCCGTTTCTGAAGTCCTGTAACAGTACGGGCCGATGGCGATGTCGCTTGCGTCAGTAACTACTTCGAACGGGCGGTGGGGGTCGGCAATGTGCGGTACGAGCAGCGTGCAGAAAACAGTTTTCAAGACAGAGTAGAAAGCATGCTCCTTCTCCCCCTACGTAAACGCCACCCCCTTCCGCAGTAAATCCGTCAGTGGGGCCGTTAAGTGCCCCATGTCGGGGACGAACCAACGGACGTAGTTAACAAACCCCCAAAAAACTCTGTAACTCCGTGATGTTTGTCGGGGGGCGCCACGCTTTTACGATATCCAGCGTCTTTGGGTCAATTTCAACCCCGGCCTCCAAAATCACGTGCCCCAGTAATGGAAAAAAAAAAAAAAAAAACCTTGATAGCAAACAACGTTAAACGACATTCACGAAATGGGTCACAGCAAAAGGTCGACATTCTTTTCAAACTTCTACACTAAAGGACATGCGCCCTAAGAATTCCTGGAGCAGATTAATCACCACACCAAGGGCTTGTCTAGCGCGTACATTTACAGCTCTCGAATGTAACCACTATTTTTTGGATTCGTACACCCCAAGTGCTTTTAAGCTTGAAAGTGGAGCGCAAAGCACGTACGTGTATGTGTTAGGCCCGACGGCCTAAGTCCGCTAAAGAATTAGCGGGGTCGACTAAGTCGAGGATGAAACGCGGCGGAAGACTTTGGCGAAAGAACTATTGGCGAAAGAGGCGAAGAAGTTACTGAGTAATTGAAGAAGAGTTGAATGAGAATTGGTTGATAATGGCAAGTACAAGCAAGGTTTATATAGCGAACAAGAGAGAATGTTGGAAAGTAGTTTGTGGGACAAGGAATTGGAATGCTAGAAAAGTAGAGTGCCACGTGGCGGTTGGGAAATCTAGGAAATCCAAGGAAATCCCAAAGGGATTGGATGAAGATAGGGTTGGGATAAGGTTGGGGGTCTGTTTAGGGTAAACTACCCTTGAACAAAAAGTACCCCGTAACACTACCCCCCTCCCAAGGAGGCGACGTCCGCGGCGCCTGCAGACTGAAGGTACGCTTTGAGGCAAGCGTTGTCAGGAGACAGCGAGGACGAAGGGACCCAGCTGTCGTCGGCTGCATCGTAACCACGCCAACGAACCAAGAAGTCAACGAAGGAGACACCCCCCTGGAGACGGCGACGGTGCCTGAGGATGCGCTGGATCTGGTAGTCGGGCTCGTCGGTGTCAACAGCTACCGGCAGTGGAGTGCGATCACGGCCCGAGAAGGTGGAGTTGGGATCGGTGTATGGACGAAGGAGAGACACGTGGAATGACGGGTGCATGCGGAAATGAGCGGGAAGGCGAAGGCGGTATGCGACTGGACCAAGTGCGCGCTCAATGACAAATGGACCAATGAAGCGTGGGCGAAGCTTGCCGTCCTGTGGCAGTCGGAGGTTGCGGCTGTCCAAAAGAACACGGTCGCCAACTGCGAACGACACCTCACGACGACTGCGGTTGGTGGTGCGTGCCATGCGTGCATTTGCAAGCTCAAGGTGCTTCCTCACGTGGTCGTGAATGAAAGTGAGGTGCTGGTGGAAGTTATCAGCACGTGGGACTGTGGGTGTGAGATCGACACGAGTGGGGACATTGGGGTGCTGACCGTACAGTGCGAAGAACGGTGACATGCCTGTGGCGGAGTGGTGCGTGTTGTTGTATGCGAACTCTGCCATGCTCAGCTTCTTGTCCCATGCTGCTGCGTCGTGCATCGTGATGCTGCGAAGAATCTGCTCCAATGTCTGGTTCACGCGCTCAGTCTGTCCGTCTGTCTCTGGATGGTACGCTGACGACATGGCTAAGCGAGTCCCAAACAGTGCGAAAAGCTGCTTCCAGAACTTCGAGGTGAATCTAGGGTCGCGGTCGGAAATGATGGAATCTGGAACCCCGTGCAGTCGGACTACGTTATCTACGAACAGCGTCGCGGCTTCCTCTGCTGTGACCTGGCCGTGCGTGGGGATGAAGTGCGCTGCTCGAGAAAACTTATCCACTACCACGAAGATGGCGTCGTGACCCCTAACTGTGCGCGGTAATGCCATGATGAAGTCCATGGTAACTACCTGCCAAGGGCGGTCGGGCGGTGGAATCGGCTGCAAAAGTCCTGCTTTGCGCTGGCGAGAGGACTTCGTACGCTGACACGTGTCGCACGAGCGAATGTAATCCTCTACGTCTGCTGCAAGCCCTGGCCAGTAGTACGTGCGACTAAGCGTCTTAGCCGTCTTATCTGCCCCAAAATGACCTGCACTAACTACATCGTGTGCCTCTGAGAGAAGGAGCTGTCGAAGAGGGCGGTAGGCTGGAACCCAAATCCGTGCTGTGCCCTTCCGTATGTAGACACTACCTCTGCTCCTACAGGCGCCTGCGGTGTGAAGTCAGGATCTACTGTGTAACCGTGCTCGAAGAGTGCTGTGAGAAGTGGATGGCCTGCAGTGACTGTGAGACTAGCGAGCTGGCAACTAGGGCGAGTGAGCGGATCTGCTGGGTTGCGCACGCCTGGCTTGTACTCTATCCTGTAGTGGAAACTCCCCTCCATGAACTCCATCCATCTAGCCTGGCGACGACTCAGCTGCGGCTGCGACTTGAGAAAGCGAAGCGAACAGTGGTCCGTGCGTATAACACTATCTGCCCCCTCTAGGTAGCACCTCCACACCTTATACGCATGGATGATCGCGAGCGCCTCCTTGTCGTGTATGGGATAGTTCAACTCCGCTCCCCTCAGCTTACGCGACTCGTACGCGATCGGCTGCAACCCGCGTCCCTGGTCCTGAAGAAGTACTGCTCCTATGGCCTGATCTGAAGCGTCGGTCACTACAACGTACGGGCGAGTGGGATCAGGGTACGACAGTGTCGGTGAAGACGTGAGCGACTGCTTCATCTGCTCGAACGCCTGCTGCTGCGCTGGACCCCAAACGTACTCTACGCCTTTCCGAAGTAGGTCGGTGAGTGGACTAGCGATGGAAGCGTAACCCTGAACAAAATGACGGTAATAGTTCGCGAATCCGAGAAAGCTCTGCAACTCCTTGACTGAGGTCGGTGCTACCCAATCCTGTACGGCTGTGATCTTCTTCGGGTCGGTCCTAACGCCACTAGCGGATACGACGTGTCCTAGGAACTCGACCTCGGGGAGGAAGAACTCGCACTTTGACTGCTTCGCGTACAGCTTCTCCCTCCGCAAGACCTCAAAGACCTTCTGCAAGTGCTGCACGTGCTCCTCTTTCGACTTGGAAAAGATGAGGATATCGTGTAGGTAGACGACAACGAACGAACCTAGAAACTCGGAGAGGACGGTGTTCATAAGCGTCTGGAACGTCGCTGGGGCGTTGGTCAGTCCGAACGGTAGAACCCTAAACTCGTACAACCCCTGCTTCGTACGAAACGCCGTCTTGTGCTGGTCCTCTGGAACTACACGGATCTGATGGTAACCTGATCGAAGATCGATCTTGGAGAAGACTCTAGCGCCCTGCACTGCATCGAGAAGATCCTCTACTCTCGGCACTGGGAATTTGTTCTTGACGGTGGTGGCGTTCAGTGCGCGGTAGTCTATGCACATCCGTAACCCTCCGTCTTTCTTAGGCGCGAAAAGGATCGGTGCGGCCCAAGGCGATCTAGATGGCTGTATGAACCCCTGCGCGAGAAAGTGCCTAACCTGCTGCGTCATCTCCTCTGTCTCTGCTGGACTCAACCTCCACTGCGGCTTCGCTACTGGCCTGCTTCCCGGCTCCAACTCTATTCGATGGTCTACTGCTCGGCTGGGAGGTAACCCTGGGGGCAACTCGTCGGGGAAGACGTCTGCGAACTCTGCTAACAGTGCACTCACCTCAGCAGGAAGAGTCGCCTTCTCACTAACTGCTGCACTCCCTCCTTTCCCCTCCTCTGCTTCCACCTCCTCAAGGAAAACCGCGAAGATCCGTGCTGCTCGCTTCACTAACTGTCGCACACGAACAGCATTAATGATAGCTGTGGATGATGTGGCCCCATCGCTCCACTGTGGCAGCTCCCGGAACTCCCCGTCTACCTTGACGCTACAGCTTCCCTGAGCCCAATCGAACTGTATACTAACCGTCCGTAGCCAGTCTCTCCCGAAGATGAAATCGTAACCGTCCATCCAGTGTCGCAGAGTCGAAGTCACGCCTAACTGTGATCGGTCCTAGCACTACGCGCAACTTGCGAATGATTGGCCCTATGTTGAGTGGCGTCCCATCTACCATGCGTGCGTCTTTGAAGTTCACTGCAGAATCTGCTTCAAGATGGAGACGACTAACTAATGAAGACGAAACGAACGAGTGGCTAGCTCCGCTATCGACGAGAATCTTAACAGGAACTCCGCGAAGCTTCCCTAGAAGCACGACTGGACGATCAACAGTGTCTACCCCGTTCTCCGTAGATGACTGCTGCGAGGCCGTCTCCTCTACGTTGGTAGACGTGGCGGGTACGGGAACCTCCACACCAGCTAGCGACCCGCTATCTACTGGCGGTTTCCGTTTCCCTGCTGCCGCTCCTTAAGCTGTGGGCAGTCCCGCTTCATGTGACCCGGCTTTTTGCAGTAGTGACAGTTCCCCCTAAATCCCGTTCGCTGTGAGCCGTCACTATTAACTGCACCAATCTCCATGGGCGACGGTCCGTCCCTCGATCGAGCGTCGTTGATCGGTCTGTTGTATCCCCTATCGCGATCGTCACGACCCCGTCGGCTTCGTACTGCGTCGACGCGTTCTGCTGCTGCGACTACCGACTCGAAGGTGGACAACCCGTGAATCGCTATGACCTCCGCTATGTCCGGCTTCAACCCTTCGAGGTAGCGATCGCGCATCTCTGCTTCCGTGATGTCGTCTATCTCGTTGCAGATGCTCAAGAACCGTCGTGTGTACTCCTGGACGTTTCCTATCTGTCGGAAATGACGCAGACGCTTCCTAGCAGCTTCGGAGGCGTTCACCAAATCGACCTACTCTTCAGCGCCGCTTCAAATCCGTCCTATGTCGTCGGAACCGTGGTAACACCCAAAGCTAGACTTCCTAAGCTTGAAGTTGCAGCTGCATGCCCCACGCCCTGTTGATGCCCGTCTAACTGAGCCCTCCGTGCAGCACTCTGCGTAAGTTGGCGCCACCACTCCAAGGTCGGGCCCCTCAGCAGCGTCACCGCGTACTCGATCCGCTGCTGCGCGTCCGCCTCTTGCACCCCGCTCGCGGCGAAGTAGTTGTTGAGCATGAAGAGCCACGTCCGCACGTTCGCGTCGCGTTGGCTCGGGTCGAACGACTCGGGCTTCTGCGGCTTGAGTGCACTTCGATGTTCCGGCAGCGCTTCCGCGCCAGTCGACGTGGTGGGTGCAGGAGATGGTGCGGCATGACCATGGGGGTTAGAAGCCAAATTGCGAAGCTGTTGCATTTCGGCTCGTACCTGACGATTTTCCAACGTCAGCTGTTCGAGTTGGCGCATGAGCTCGGCAAGCGCGTTGCCCATGTCTTGGGGGAGAGCGTTCATGGTCTCGTCCATGTTCGCTCGACGACTCCAAGTCTGCAAGTCGGCACCGCGGGACGATGACGTCGTAGTCTCGTCGTCGACGGTCGCTCGTTGGAAGTCGCTCCCCGCGAAGGCTCTGATACCAAGTGTTAGGCCCGACGGCCTAAGTCCGCTAAAGAATTAGCGGGGTCGACTAAGTCGAGGATGAAACGCGGCGGAAGACTTTGGCGAAAGAACTATTGGCGAAAGAGGCGAAGAAGTTACTGAGTAATTGAAGAAGAGTTGAATGAGAATTGGTTGATAATGGCAAGTACAAGCAAGGTTTATATAGCGAACAAGAGAGAATGTTGGAAAGTAGTTTGTGGGACAAGGAATTGGAATGCTAGAAAAGTAGAGAGCCACGTGGCGGTTGGGAAATCTAGGAAATCCAAGGAAATCCCAAAGGGATTGGATGAAGATAGGGTTGGGATAAGATTGGAGGTCTGTTTAGGGTAAACTACCCTTGAACAGGAAAGTACCCCGTAACATATGCGTCTGAAATTCTACAGTGCCAAAATTGCTGAAGTTCACCATGTAATTCGCGTTACGCGACGCTGTCATTTGCAGGAATTGAGTTGACGAAATTATGGTTATGGAGCTGTGCTATCGCTATTGCCGCGTATGTATTGTTCGGGTTGTGCTGGGTGGCGGATCGTGTCCGTGCGCTCATTTCTGGACACAAAATCTAGGACGCGTCACAATTGCGACATCGAGGGAGGATCGCGGTCGCGCACCGATCCTGTGAGAATCGATCTCCTCCGAGGCAGATGTGTCGCGATCGTCTTCAGGTTCAATACTTAGTGGTGTTAGAAGCGTTTTTGAAAGTTTTGAATGCACTATGTATGATTTGAGTGCGGTAACTTGTTGATTTGAAAGTGACATCGCAATTGGTGACTGGTGTCAGGTCCTAGCGAACTCTAACGAAAAAGGGATTCAGGACACAGCGATATACTGTACACCCCAAACATCGACCCCTCAGGATCGGTGTCGCAATTGTGGCGCGTCCTTAGATGGTACACCTAACGATACCTTTTCGATAGATGATAACAAATACGTAAACAAGAGGCGACGAAATCGTCTTAGGGTTGCGAAGCGTTTTGCAATACGTAACTAGATGAAATTGTACAACTTCTAATTCTGTACAAGCTGTAGTATGACACTAAGTGGTATTTGATACAACCTAGCAAAAAACTAGAGAATACCCATTTGCAGGAATTGAATTGGTGACCTTTCGGATTGAATGTTCAATCCTAAACGACTGCGCCAACACTGATACTCGAAGTGTACGACAAAAGCTATTGCAAGATTGTGTGTTTGACAAATCTTAGACTGCTTTAGGGTTTGCTCGTTCTTTTTTCTCTCCCGCTCCTTCTCCCTAGTTGAGCTCTCCGCCAGACACGCTCCACCTACTTGTGCAAGGTAAGAACAAGCCTAGCATATCAATCAGGACCAAGTTAGATTATCACAAGCTAACATAAGTCTAGCCTAGCATACCATTTCTTAATCTCATGTCGTTTTTGCTTAATATATTGTTTGCCGCAAGTTGTTTTAAGCTTAGGTTATAGGCCGCATTTCATCTGTTTCTCCTACCCGATCCTCTTCCCGTCTTAATCTTAACGTTAGTCTTATTCGTTAGCCATAAACTTCTCTCGCACCTCGTTCTTGTTTACCATTCGTTTCTCTTGTTACGGATTTGTTTTCTTCCATGGTTATCTTTTCTTTGTTAGCTTGCACTTGTTCCTTCTATTTTTATTGGGCATGCTGAGCGTCTAGCTGCCGACCCTTCGAAAACTCTATTTGTCTCGCTCTCTCTTTGCCTCGGTCTCTCTCGTTCTCTCTCCCTCTCTCGCTCTCGCTCTCGCTCTCTCTCTCCCGTTCTCTCTCTCCCTTCTCTCCATCCCGTTCTTTCTCTCTCGTTCTCTCTTCTCGTTCTCGCTTTCTCGTTCTCTCTTTCTCTCTCGTTCTCTCTCTCTCTTTCGTTCTCTCTCTCTCTCTC